AGAAATCTGTGTTTTAACCAATTCCTTCAGGTAATTCTGATGTACACGAAAGTTTGAGAAGTTCTAGAATATAATGAGAAAAAAAAATAGTGTCAGACCATATCATTGTCCAGAAGAGAATAAGGCCCCTGAATTAGAGAGCCAAGGAAAGTAGAACTGAATGAGGAAAACTCTGAATCCTGATACTAAAATACAGAAATGGATGTGGAGCTCCACCAGTAAATTGTAGCTGATACAAAATCCAATGCCCGGTGGTGATTTGGCTTTAACAAGGGTAAGAATTTAGTAAGATAGCCTTTACAATCAGGAAATGAATAAAAATAAGTGATTACAAATGGTAATGAGTAGGAAAGTTTGAGGCAGTTTCCAAAATATTCATTCTGTTCTTTGATACATTTGAATTATAGAGATCTGACCTTTACAGTGAAATGTCATGTAGAACTCCCTCCATATGGAGAATTTGCATTTTGCTCTATCAAGAATAGAATAGGTAAGAAATAAATGGGTACTTTGTTTTGAGTTTGTCTTTTTAATTTCTTTTTATTTTATTGGTGCATTATAATTATACATAATGGTGGGATTATTACAGGTTCATTCGTACTTTTAATTATATGAATAATAGGCACATCAGAGAAGTGAACATTTCTTGCCAAAGAGGAAATGTGGCAATTGCTTCTTTTATTATACTTCTCCAAATTGGGTGATTGGAAAGAAACATGGTCATCTTTGGTACCTGAATCATTAGCTTAGCTCTCCATTTGATTTTATACCCCACAAACAAATTTTATCTTGAGATTAAAAGAATGTAAATTTGAAACTTCAAGTTAATATTTTTTTCAACAGGAAGAAAAATGTTCAGATTAAGAGTTTCTGTTTCTAGTGCAAAGTTCTGATATCATCAGCAATTATTTGGATCAATTTTTAAATTATCCCCAATTAAAAATCTGAATGGGAACAGAAAAAAAATGTTACTATTTTAGTGCTTTTCTTGTACTTTCTTGTATCAGTCTGCTTCATATTATCACCATTAAATACCCAAGGTAATTAACTTTATAAAAAGAGTTAGCTAGCTCAGTTTGGTTTTGGTGGTTCAAGTTCAAGTTTGGATAGTCCCATTAGTTTGGCCTCTGGTGAGGGTAGTACATCATAATGGGAGTACATGTAGGAGCAAATGGTCACATTTTGAATGAGAGGACAGTAAAAGGTGGCATCTAACTATCCCTTTTGAGGGCTATCCTCAATGACCTAAGGATCACCACTAAGACCCACTTCCCAAATATCATACTGCTTTCCAATAGGGTCACCCTGCAGATTAAAATTTCAATCATGGACCTCTCTGAGGAATACCCAAACCAACAGCACTTTTATTTTCAAATACAGCATTAATTATTTAAAATATAAAATATTCTTTAATGACAAAATTCCTCCATGTTTATTTGCTTACACTTTTATAATTTATATACAGCATTTAGGAAAAGCCCTTTTGCGGTAAATAGAGTAGAAAAAAATCTTTTTGTAAAGGCTGATAAGATTAATTATATTCAATCTGGCAGAGTTCAAAAAGCAAACTGAAAAATCAGATTTTCAACTGTTATACAGTGTAATATTCAACTCTCTCAAGGTTGTCATAAGCAATGGGTACAAAATCTAACAGCATACCATGAATTTTCAGTAACTAAATGATAATGCACTTAGCTGACATTTTTCTTTTTGCTGGGGATCAAACCCTGGGCATCACATATGCTACACATGCCCTATATTTCTGAGTTACAGCCCCAGACTCTCAATTGGTTCTTTATCAATAATCTTTATGGGAAAACTCAGAATTTCCTATACAATCAATTCAGAGTTACTCAACCCATCTCAACCCCACTCTATTCCATGTAGCTATATCATGAATACTCAGTTTTTTAAAGAAAAGGAACAAACTATGTTTTCTGTGGTTTTCATAAATAAAATAAAATAATGAAATTCTTATATTCATACATTCAATATTTCCTTTATCTTGATGCTTGTCAAAATTTGAGAAACTGTGGAGAGGAGCTAAACTGTTATATGACTAGTTTAAATAGCTATTCACAATACTATAGTCCTTAAATTTTTTTAAATGCTGTGAAAATATGAGGTCATTATTCTGCATTATAACAAAATACCACTTGCTAGTGGTATTTTCAACTTTACCTGTGGAGGAGAATGTTCAGATAGAAATGTCAGGCCACATTCCTGAAGCAGCACAACCAGGCTGGGACTTCAGAAAAGCCAATATCAGCCTCCATGGTGGGGTTTCTCAAACCACACGCTATGACATCCTGGGCTCAGTGAGTTTTGGTTGAAGGGAGGGAAGCCGCCCTAGTTCCTAGGATGCTTACAATATCCCTGAATTCCACCTACTAGATACCAGTGGCATCTCTTCCTCCATGTGGCCAACAAAAAAATGTCTCCAGATATTTCCAAATGGCCCTGGTTGAGAGCTACTGGCACAAAAAGAAAATGATTGCATAAGCAACTAAACAGATGAATATGAATTTATGCTGTTTCACATTTTACCCGTATAATTTCCATTTCTCTGCAGAGTGAATAGGGCTGATCTACATTGTCCTATCTATTGGAATAATCCTGCTGATTCCTAAATATTTTTTAATATTCCTCTGGTACACATTTTTTTAAAGAAGGCCCTGTGTCTACATCATGATAATGCAAATTATTAGCAGTGCAATTTAAAAAAAAACTGGCAAATGACTCTAGTCTCAAATTTCATGCCCCCAAATATTAAAATATTAAGTAACTATTTGAATTTATAAAAGTGCTATTCTGCCAAAGATATCCAGCAGATCTTTTACACTCACATTATTTCTGTGAGGTAGGCAGAAGTTTAATGCTATGTACCATCATTTGAGGAGGTGAAGTATAAATTCAAAGATATGCAACTTGACAGCAGCAACATATATTGACAAACAACCCATGTGGCTTTTCCTCCCATTAAGGTTTGTGACTCAAAATAACTAAGAGTAAAACACTACTTACTTTATATCACAATATATTAACATTTCCCCCTTTTTGGTTCTATTCTAAAATTTAGAAATTAAGATAAATTATTTTAAATTCATAATATCACTTTATTGTCTTCAAAATTTTATCTGGCACTCTTATGTGTTTGTGCAAGTAAAAGTGAAAGTTCCAAATGTCACAAAGATATATTTTGCCATAAGGAAAGTGGACAAGAATGGATGTATTATATTTCTTATTAAGAATATATTGCATAACCCCTGCACAGAGAAAAGAAAAAGTCACTTATATAATCCGATTTTGATTTCCAAAACTGAAGCATGCTACATACATATGCATTTAAAATTCTTAAATAACCGTCAAAGTTGCATGAAACAAACAAGATCATGTCTTCTTACTCCTTAAAACATTATAGATTCACAAAGCTTGATGTTGGCTTTCAAATATAGTAATTAAAAAATAGTATCTAAATACATAAGAGATTTATAAATGTATAGTTAATTTAAATGTGATATGAACCTCTTTGCTTTAGATAAATGCAAAACTTCCTATTTTACACATATTTTAATGTCAGCTAGCAACCCTCAATTTACAGGGCATGGCTTCCTAAACAAGATAGATCAGAAAATAATCATGAAATTATTGAATTAAAAAACATTTGTATTTATCTAAGTATTTCTCTCATTTTTAAAAAAAAATTGAAAAAAAATTAAACTTTTAAACAGTATCTAATATGGGTAATGTAGAAAAAATAAGTTATTGATGAAATCATGTAACCAGACATAGCAAAATAAACAGCTAAGCAAATTTGAAACTTGAAATTTTAAAACATAAAGCAAATGACATATGGTAAATCTAGAACTAGATGGATGAGATTCATAGCTTAGAAATATAGTCATAGTTATCTATAAGTTAGCTTTTTAACTATACACTAGAATTTTGAGATTTCTAAGCATATGTGCCTTCGATCAATTTAATTGACTGCAAATTAGTTGATACTCAAAAATTCAAAACTTAATAGCCTGAAGTGTAATTATCTAACTCCACATAATTTAATCATTTTTAAAAATATAACATTCTCAGATTATCAAATCCCAAAGTACCTATGTCAAATGTACTTTAGTCAGTACCAGGCTCATGGGGGTTTATAATTTATAGGCTAGGACTTTGTGAACTGGGGGCTGGGGTGACATAATTCATGTTAGGTGTCTCAAGATATGTCCAAGCCCAGGACAATAGAGCCAACAGGAATCCAGGAAGGCAGGCACCAGTGACGCCACCAACAAAATCACAGTCAGAGCTTCAGAATCCAAGAGCTATAGTTTAAGAAAAGCAATAGAGAGAAGTAGCCAAAGACCAGGAATCTCAGAAAGAAACCCAAAGGCACAAGAATAGATGCAAGAAGACCTTGATCACTGGGTCCCTGTTCTGTCCCAGACAGGTCACTTCTTGATCACCTTCCTGAGCCAAAATCAGTTCCAAAGCTACTATGAGCTCTGGGCTGAACCAGGATAAAAAGCAAAGATTTAGACAAGACAGATTTATCACTTCATGGCTCTCTACAAATAGAGTGGTAGAAGGGAGAATAGTTCTTTTCAATATTAATTACGACTTTGGTGAATCCAAAGCTTACATGCTAGCACCAAAGGCACGGAAAATATTTTCAATAATGCCCCAAAAACATGCCTTTGGCCAACAAGTAACACAGGTACATGTGTGCATTAGCCTTCCAGCCTATATGTAGTCATAACTTTCACAACCGTATCTTCATTGAAATAAAAGTGAGAAATGCTGATGCTGAAATTCTGGACTCCAGAGTAGCATCAATGAATCAGTATGGAAAGAGAAGAAAGTTAGGACTTCTCTTTAACAAAAATGCATTGCCCCACAACCTGACCGACAAAAGAAGGACAGATAGATCTAAATCTGATCTAAATATCCTAGAAAACATAGAATCGAGGCATCATTTCAAATCTTCTTGCTTTGGAGGTGTTTCACAAGCGAGTCCCATTGACCTTGCCCCGCTGATCTGTGAAGTTCAATTCAATATGGTTGAAGGCAGGATTATCAGTTCCAAGATCCTCCACTGGATGAGATTTATAGCTTATATCATGCTGCTTCTAAAAGAAAATGTTGACATGGTGATTAGGAAAAACAAGAAACTTCATTTGTTTAATGACAAATCATTGTTACTACGGTTTCTATTTCTGTAAACCAGCTTTGTAATCTACCGAGGGAGAGATGTACAACAGATATAAACCAGCAGATGACACAATGACACAGACACACAGAATTGTCAGAGGATAAGATAAATACCTTCCCTGTCCATTTCTGTTAAAAAAAAAAAAAAAAAAAGAGGCTGAGGACTAGTGTTCTATTCAGGGGATAAAGCCCAATTTTCTAATTTAAGGTAAATGAAAGACAACTTACTTTTTTAAAAATATCAAAATTGGATAAAAAGTCCTGTTTGGTTAGTAAGAATCTGGGGTCTAAGTTCTGTTTTCTTCCCCCTAGAGGGAAAACAAAAAACATGATTACATTGCTAAAATGATACCTATAACTACACGTTGATATACCGTCATACAGGCATTTAATTTATATACATTCAACTCTGTGGACTCATAAAAAACATGAAGAGAAAAAGAAACTTTCAAACCATGCTGAAGATTCAGCCCACCGTTCCCCTTCAGTGTCTCACTGTGATAAATATGGGCCTTATAAGGTGAGAGGCTAAGAGAGAGGGAGGGAAAGAGGGAGAGAGAAAGAAATAGATAACTAGCTCTTAAAATCAAGGCAACTGCTTCAGCTAGTGCTCAACAAGAGAGTCATCTGCTCCTATTCTGACAGGAAAACTGGCTTAAAAGTATCCTTCATGATCCACCAATAAAATATCAAACCATCTGTCTCTGCTTGAGCTAGCAGAGCTGCCTTTCCCCAATTTTATGGCTGCAAATACTGATGTGTGAGAAGAAATGCAGGAACAGACTGGGGTTGTGGCTCGGTGGCAGAGCGCTTGCCTAGCATGTGTGAGGCACTGCATTCGATTCTCAGCACCAAGTATCAATAAATAAAAGTCCACTGACAACTACAAAAATATTTTTWAAAAAAAAAGAAATCAGGAAATTATGAACTGTTGAATAATTAACTGAAAATTGATATAATTACTGATGTTTAATTTAAATCCTCTTCCCTAAGGTTTTGCTTCATGAAAAATAATTCTTTATTTGGTATTTTATTTATGGCTCAAGAGGATGCATTTAAAAACTGTCTATGGTTCTCAAATAATCTCTATCCAAATCATCTAGTAGATGTGCTTAATATGCAGATTTCCAGACTCCAGTCTGGACTGACCAAATTAGAACCCCTGTTGCCAGGGCCACTGAATCCTGATTTCTGCCAAGTTTCCAAGATAATTTTTATGCCCTTTAAAGTGTGCGAACCACCACTTTGGTATAAGTACTAGACTTTTAATTATGAGAATCTATATTTTTGGAGATAAGATGAGCTTTAAATTCATCCATTCAACATTACTGAGTACCTACTATGTGCTAAGATTCTACTAGCTGCTGCAGAGACAGAGATGAGTAAGACAATCACTGCCTYCAGGGTTCGTGGGCTATTTACAAAAATATTTGTCCACATTTAACTGATGAACAGTATGTTTTAAAATATATTTCCTAAGGAACTTTAGAATTATATGTTCCCAGGTTTTTCCAAGGTGCTCACTGCTGGTGTTGAGTAGGAATAAGTCATTTATGAAATTAATGAAGGTATTTTTTTATTATTGGATGTCTGCTCACCTGGATAAAGTATTAGCTTTTAAAATAAAATACATACCTGTGTACAGTTATCAATGTATTTAAGGTGAGGAGAGATTCTGTGAACAAAATCAATGTATTTAAGGTGGGGAGGGAATATTCAAAGGGAGTATTCTGATATTCCATTTCCTTTTTTAAAAGTGAGGGTAGACTAAAGTTCAAGGTCAAGTAGTATAAGAAGAGAGATACGTTTATTCCAGGTCTGAATAATKGTAATTAGTAAGAAAAATTTAAAATATGTCTTAATAAATATCAAAAGAGGTAAGGAATAAACCTACTGTGCTAGTGGTTTTTACTTAGAAAAAGCACAATACTTTGGGAAAAGAAAGAGAATACTTTAAAATAATCAAGGAGTAACAAGAAGTAACAAACTTTATAATTAATACAATGTCACAGAAGTTTGAAATATAGTGCTATCCAGGTGTCAAAAAATAACAGTCAATAGTATGTTTTAAAAAGTGGCACAGCATTGGCAGCTTTGTAGCATAAAGCAAGCAAGACATCAGACAGATCTGGACAGAGTATAAGATTTCAGAGTATTTATAACACCTTGATAAAGAAAGCAGTGCAGGCTTCCCCTAATTTGGGTGCTAAGGATGTACATGTGGGTGGGGATGCGGGGAATTAAGGAGCCCATCCCTTTCCAACTACCACCCCAGCCAGAGTCACTGTGATGTCTCACCTGGATTACTGCAATAGCCTCCTGCCTGCCTCATTCCCCACAGACTATTCTCAAAACTGGAACAAGTGTACCTTTGAGAATTACTGGAAAATTAATTGAAAAAATTCCACATAGTAGACCTAAAAGACACAGAGATAGAAAATTGGAGAGAAAAGACAAGAAAATAAGAGGAATTGTCCATCTCAAACATTTGACTAACAGGAGTTTCCAGAAAGAGAAAACAGAAAATGGCAAGAAATTACAAAAGAAATAAGACAAGAAAATACCCCAATTGAAGGACATGGGTCTTCAGATTAAAAGGGCCCTGCTGAGGGCTGAGGGCAAGTGAATAGTTATGAAAATGGGTCACAGGCAAAGGGTCAGAAGTAGTGAGGCATTAGCAAGCCACAGAAGACCAGTCACCTACAAGAAAATTAAGACATTCTCTCAGAACACAGGTGAGTTATTTTCAATTTAGTGGGTTTTTTTTCAGACATGCAAAGTTTCCAAAACCTCTTCTATTGTGCTTATTTAATTAAGGAAGTAAATAAGAATTAGAACTAGTGGGATATAAGCACCAGCGAACCCAACATAGGAGGGAAGCCAAGAGAATTCACACAATGAAGACAAAATAAATTTCCAGGATAAAAGCTCCATAGCAATTTATACTCTGTGTATTATCAGTTGGATTTTTTWAAAAAACATATGTAGTTTTTAAAGTCTATGAACATTTTTTGGAAGCTTTTATACTATGCTTAGGCATAAAGATTATAATTATTATTCCTTCATGTTTATACCTTTTTACAGCTTACAAAGAACTGGTATGGGACAATGAAAAGATTCTGGCATAGGGTTGCTATAAAAATAATGTACAGAATCCTTTTCTTTGTAGTAGCTACTATATAGTTTTCTTCAAACACTTTAGTTTTCTCTCATAGCAATCTGTGAAGTAGCCTGGTTAACTATTATCCTCATTTTGTACATAAGAAAGCTAAGTTTCAAGGTAGTTATGTGACTTGCCTAGGTTCATGCAGCTACTAAGTGAAAGATCCAAAATTCAAACACAAATAGTCTTTCGATTTCAAGTCTGGGCTCTCAAATTTCCCATGAGTAAAACGGAAGAAATAATTAAACTAGTTGTTAGCAAGATCACAATAAGATAACATTAACAGTTATAACACAGATACAGGAAAAACTGATACACAGGCAAATACACGAATACTAATGTTAAGATAATTACCTGTTGATAAACTGATAAGCATCCCCACAATTACCGTTGTCAAAGTTCCAACAGTGCTGAAGTACAGATATGATAAAGAATACCAATTATCCATTAGTGGAGTCCTAAAAGATAGCAAAAGTATATCTGAGGATTTCATGTAGGGCTGGGGATGCAGCTCAGTTGCAGAGCACTTGCCTAGCATGCACAATGATTTTATATAATACTAGTAGTAAAACCTAGTAGGGTTATGGTTGGATATGAGGTGTCCCCCCGGACTGTGCTAATGCAGGGATGTTCAGAGGTGAAGTGATTCAGTTATGAGAGCTGTAACCTAATCAGTCCATTCTATTTGAATGGACTGACTGGGTGGTAACCGTAAGCAGGTAGGCATGGCTGGAGGAGGCAGGTTGCTGGGGGAGTGCCCTAGAAGGGCAATCTTCCCTGTAGCCCCTTTTCTTCTCTTTTTCTCTGATTCCTTCCCTCACCATGAGCTGAGTAGTTTTCTTTCACTGGGCCCTTACCCCCTGATGTTCTGCCTCATCTCTGGCCCAGGGCAATAGAGTCGACCATCTGTGGACTGAGACCTTTGAAACCATGAGCCCCCAATAAACTTTTCCTCCTCTATATAAAAGTGATTATTATGGTACCAGTCACATATTAAGCCTTGGCTGGTTTATTGGTGTCAGTAATCCAAATGACCATTCTGCCTTAGACTTTTAAACTAAAGGAGATACTTACAGAATTGAGGAAAATGCTAAGAGAAATTCAGGATGTCCTCTTCTTTAGCTTCCCGCAGTCTCACTCTCTTTCTGACTCTAGTGATTTTCCCAGCTCCTCCCATTAGTGCTTTCATCCTTGTCCAGACGGCCTCCCAAGTTTTTTGCCTCTGTCCACATAGCACCTCATTTTGACAGCTAGATGTGCCCCAGACTCTGGAAATACCTTTTCTCTATATACATGAAGAGCTTCCCTGCCTTGAACTCCCCTGGTAGTCCCATTAGCAAGCATTCTCATAGCTGAATTCCCTCCATGACAAGAACGGCTTTGCTAATAATGGCTGTGTGGCAACGTTCTTTCTTCCAGGAGTGGGTCCATTTTAAGGAGACACTTTATCTAGACACTTAAGCAATGATTCTCTAATATTGTTATTTTATGCAAGCTGGCACTGTGGCAACACTTTGGGGACGGTGGCCTTATTTTTGCATTCCTCAAAATTATCCACAAGATTTGTGCACTTTAAGCCTGTACTTTTACAAATTCTTGCCCTTACATTGTTGACTATTCAAATAAGACACAGTGTGTATTATTTCATTAAGTGTTCATAGGCTCAAAAATATACTACATACTCAGCGGCTTAGGAGGCAGCGAGTTCAAAGCCAGCCTCAGCAACCGCAAGGGGCTAAGCAACTCAGTGAGACCTTATATCCAAGTAAAATACAAAATAGGGCTCAGGATGTGGCTCACTAGTGCCTCTTAGTTTAATTCCCGGTACCCCCCCCCCCAAAAAAATACACACACACCTGCATGCACACACACAACTAAAAACTCCAGCAAGAAGGTCACAGCTGTAACTCATTGGTAGTGTTTTAAAGATTCACAATCTTTCTTTAGTAAGTAGATATTTTAGGCAGCATTTTTGCTACTATGACCAAAAGACCTGATAAAAACAATTAGAAGAGGAAAAGTTTATTTGGTTTCATGGTTTCAGAGGTCTCAGTCCATAGATGGCCAACTTCATTACTCTAAGTCTGAGATAAGGCAGGACATCCTGGTGGAAGGGTGTGGCAGAGGAAAGAGGCTCAGAACATCTTATAAGGAAGCAGAGAAAGACTTCTGCCCTCACCAGAGACAAAATATATACCCCAAAGGTACACTCCAATGACCCACCTTCTCCAGCCACATCCTACCTGCCTACAGTCACCACCCAGTTAAATCCCTATCAGAGGATTAATGTACTGAGTGGTTAAAACTCTCATAATCTAATCACTTCACCTCTAAACTTTCTTTAACTGATTCACACCTGAGCTTTTGGGGGGCAACTATCTAAACCACAACAGTAAAGGATCTATTTCAAAGATGCATAAACAATAATTTTTTTATAATTGAGTTTTTCATTGTAAAGTTTTTCAAAGAGAGATAATTCTTTAACCAGCTAGAGATGGTGTTTGGTAGAGTTTATCCATAATAGAATTTTTAAATTAATTTTCAAGTCTGGGGCTGAGGTTGTGGCTCAGTGGTAGAGTGCTTGCCTCATACATATGAGGAGCTGGGTTTGACCCTCAGCACCAAATTAAAAAAAAAAATAAACAAAATAAAGTTATTAGAAAAATATTCAAGTCTCTTTTAGATCTTTCAATAAGACAGAAATTGTTGTACAAATAAAGAAAATATCGATTTTTCTTTTGCGATTGCTGAATAACATGTTATAGCCAGAAAGCGACATGGGCTATACCCATTTCAGAATCAGAAAAAAAAACCATGTTACAGGCAAGACAAAAAGCAACTGGAGTTCTCTATTTGTCATTTAAATTTTAAAGACAGATTTTAAAACTTAGTACCTTTCAATGTTGTGTACTTGAAAAGCACTAGTAGAAAATGGCATTGCAGTGGCTGTCATCAAATCTGTCCTATTGTACGTGCTGTTGCAGCCATAGGTTTCAAGAGGTAATGGCAGAGTTCTCTCAGGAAGTGGAGGATAAAGTTGAGCTCCAATTCCAACCCATAAGGAAATGGCAAATCCAGCCAAGAGTCCCAAAAGTGCTCCCTAGAGAAAGAAAATGCTTTTGAAAGAAAAATACAGAGTGCTTTGAAATGGGAATTAACATTAAGAAGTTAAGTTCAACATGATCCAAGCCCAATTCACCAGCTCCCTTTCTAAAACTCGACTTCCTCGCAGGATTGCTGCCTTTTGTCATGGGTACCATTGGCCCCTGGTCCCTCAGTCCAGACCCTTGTAGACTCTGTAACCCCATTCCCTTTTCCATATCACTTTTAACCAATCATGAATTCCTACACATTTTTCTTTTCAAATGTCACATACTTTCATTTTTTCCACTATTCCCATGGCCAGTACTCTTCTCTGGCCTTCTCTTTTTCTCATATCCAAAAAATGAAAATAGTCACATAATTGGCTGCAAGGTAATTGTCACCTGCATTTCATTTAATCTGAGYAAATGGCACTCCACATGTGCAAAAAAGCATATCAGGTTTATCTTTACATTTAACAACATGCATGATTGTTACTGAGCTGTAGGACAACTAGGGAGAAACTAGCAAACAGTTTTTACAAATGACAGTGATAGTGCCTTCAACAAAACCAAGACTTTCTAAAGGTAAATGGAGACAGACAGGTGAGAATTTGGTCAGCTGTGCCCTCTGAAGTTATAAGACTCAGGTATCCCCTTTTCACCAGAAATCCAGTGGTTCTGTTAGCTCTTGAATGATTTACGCTCCAGTTCCAAATGACAGGGTAAAAGTAAACCCTGAGCTGGAAAGACCTTCCCTCTGTAGTGAGATTTAGGAATCATGATCAGTGAGGGTGGCCTGAGCCTTAGGCACTACATGGAGAGGAAAGGCAGGAGCACCTGAAGTTAGGGGAAAAACAAAAGTGAAATCACAGTGTAGGAAACAGAATGGTGTGTTGGTAGGAGAGTGGGAGGGTTGTTGATCAGATCAGGAGATTCATGTTGYGGACAAGGATTTTCATAAGGTCTTTCTTTAATAAGATGAGATTAGCATAGTTGGTGGCCATCTGTGGACAGGCCAGACTTAGCTTACTCTTAGTGGGATACATGGCTTGATGTTATATTTTGGATATAAGGTGTCCCCCCAAAGCACCTGTATTGATGCAGGAATATTCAGAGGTGAGATAATTAKATTATGAGAAATATAACCTAATCAGTCCACTCCAGTTTGAATGAATTAAATGAGTGATTAGGCAGGCAGGCCTTGCCTAGAGGAAGTAGGTGTGCTCCAGAAAAGTTTAAATGCCCTACAGTCCCTTCCTATTCTGCTTCCTGGCTTCCATGAACAGAATGGCTCTTCTGCCACACATTTCTGCCATGGAACTTTGCCTCACCTTGGGCCCAGAGGAATGGAATCAGCCATCCRTGGACTGAACCCCTGAAACTGTGAGCCAAAATAGACTTTTCCTCCTCTAAGTTATTTTTGTCAGACACTTTGTTCACAGCAATGAATAGCTAACACCCTTGATCAAGGATCCACAAAATTATAAAACTCATGAGGGCAGAAATATCCAGAGCTCTACTCCCAAGATAGTGTTCAGCCAATTAATATTCACTGAATAGGGGAGGGGGCTGGAAGAGAGAGAGAGAGAGAGAGAAAGCCTCTCCAAAAAAGGAAGGTGGATAACCTATGGTAAGAAGAGATACTTCTGTAGGAAGAAAAATAGTATGTTATTCTCCCCATCTCCTCCTCAAAAAGGCAAATAGGACCTAGTCATCTACAGCTCTTTTGGAGGACATTTGTGGTAGCAACAAATGTCAAGAACCAAAAGCTGATCTTTCTTTTTTTTTTCTCAGACACTCAACAAACCATTATTCATTTCATAATGCAGAGACTCTTATAAAGCTTCAACTTTCTGAGACAAAATACTCTTTAAAAATTGTGTGAATTTCTACCAAACTAGCTTTTTCATGACACTTCATTGAGAATTTTGTTAAAATTAATAATAGCCCTTATTAATATCTGTCAATTGCCCATGCCTTATAAGGAAAATATAATTCTGTATGTTGAGTCATAGTCCAATAATCACTCTATAAATATCTGCAATAACTACACATACATTCTTATTTTTTTCTTGAACTTCATCATATAGCAGAACTGAGTCAGTGAACTTTCTCCTTTCAGAGAAGTAGCTTTAAGAGAAATAATGTGTATTTTATTTATTCCAAATAAAATTGAGATTTCCAAAGCCCAGATATGACTATGTAGGAGAACAGAGATATTACCTCTTTCTGGATAATATTCCTAATTATAATCACCTCTTATGAGCTAGACACCATGTTTTGATGGTAGTTTTAAATATCAGGTGTACAATCTTCATGGTAAAAGTGGTGAAAATCTTATTACTTCTCTTTCCTGTATTATGGCTACTCACAGGTATCCTCAGTTTTATTGTCCTTAAAACTCTCATGTCTAAGCCTACTGATTTCCTTCCTTAAATCCTATGATTCTTGAAGTTTCCATTCAGCTTTATACACACAAGGTCCCAATGCATAGCCCTTCATTGTACCCTCCATCAAAGCATCAAAGTCAAGTGAGTAATTTAAGTCATCAAGATAAGTAACAAATGACAGATCTCAAAGCAACCATATATTCACAACGGGGGTCCGGTAGAGCAGTATGTAAAACTGCCTCTTTAGTTGGAAAAGTAAACTTTACACATATTCATTTTTTTATACTTACAATTGAGTTGGCAAAGGGAACCAAAATTCCCAAAGAAAACAAGCCCAACAGTGGTCCACCAACCATGCCAAATATGCTGAGCGCTGCCTACAAAAATAATATAAAGTTAGCAATTAGCAGCTTCAAATCCAAACAAAAATGTTTCAAAGTAATTTTATCACGATGAGGATTTGAAGTATTCAACCCCTCCTGAAAATCAGAATCGGATTCACGGCAGCCTTGTCATTGGCAAAAGGTCACTGGGACTTGGAAACTTCTGCTTCTCAATTCAGTTGTCCACCTCTTCCTTCAGGCATCCTCCAAAAAGGCAACAAAAAGCAAGAAGACAGAGTCACGAGACAGTGGGAGCCCTCGAATGGATGCCCAAGTCACAGATTATCCTGTCGTAAGTGGCTTCATCAGAACAGGATGTTCTGATGGCGGGCAGCGGTCGCTTTGCTCTGACAGTCTCAAAATACTCCTCAAAGCAAGACTGTGGATAAGCACTGCTGTTGAGCAGTRATGGGGAGGAAACTCATGTGCCATTCTTCATCTGGTTCCCTAGGGATGGGACTAGAATGAAAAATATGACTAAAACAAAGATGAACCAAATGAGGCAGAAATATATTTAAAATCTGGTTGGATAACTGTAACATTTCCTTTGATGTAGAGATGCTAAAACCGTGAGAGTGAAAAAGATTGACRATGTGAAGCATGACGACATGCAAAWAACTGAAGCTTCCAAGACATACATGTCCCCAATAGTGTTTCTGAGTAGGGGGGAGGGAAGAATRAGGAAAGGTTGGTCAGTAAGCACCAAATTAGAGTTTTATAGGAAAAATAAGTTCTGGCATCCTGTGGCACAGAAAAAGAATGATATGACAATGGACTGTATATTTCCAAAAAGCTTAGAAGAAATGGTAAATACTTGAAAGGATAAATATATTTACCCTCCTTTGAACATTACATAATGTGTACATGTATTGAAACCCCATAAGTAGGTACAACTTTAYATATTAATTAGAAATAAAGAATAGACAAGACCATAAAAGGAAGAACTGGGGAAATTTTGGTTTGTTTATAGGAAAGGAGAATTAAAGAAAAAAAAAAGACTAAATCAAAGAGAGAAAAATACCAAGTCAAGGAAATGCTAAAAAGATATAGACTGTAGTCTTTGATTAAAGCAAATTTTAAAGACTGTCTTATGAGATAGAGAAAGAAGGGTGGGAAGTGATGAGAGAGAAGTGGTGTTTGTGAGGATATGGACTCAAGGAAGCAATCAGAAATGGGTTCACAGCAGAATCCATTAGGCTGTGAGGCAGACTCCACTGAAGATGCGAAAGATAATCACATAACCCACGAAGCCAGTTATGACAGGATAAAGGCTGATATTTAAATAAGAATCTGATAGAGGAATAAGATGGTGGTTTGCAATGAATTCAGGAAGAACTGGCTTGGAGTTATAATGATTCTGCCACATYATCTCACTGGATACAATCAGGACAGAGCCAAAAGTACTGGAAAAAATGGGCAACGCAATAAGAGCTCACAGCAGTAATGCTGGAGAAAAGCACACTCAGAATCAGTTTATTTCATTATGGTTAGGTGTGCTGATAGGCCTGGAACTTCTGTACCAATTCATTTTCTCATATAATAAGGGACAAAATCAAACTATTTTTGACAACTTGTATGCTCAAAGCAGCAACCAATCAGAACAGACCCTGAGGATTGAAGCAAGATTCTGGAGGGCTCCAACTTTGCTCAGCATTTACCTTTGTTTCTAGATCATAAAGAGGTGCAAAAGTCCCAGAGGAGGAGCCCATAGAGTCAAAAAGTACCCAAGGTGATCAGAAAAGTGGGTCTTTATGTGCCAATAGCTAAATAGGTACATTCTAGCTGAATTTGCTAACTGCCTACTTTTTCCTGGGCACTGCAGTAGGCACCAGATGTCCCATACAATGGTGAATAACAATGATATAATCCTCCCTCTCATGACATTACAGACCACTTAGTAAAACAAACGTCAAATACATACCTGCAATAAAGGATGATAATGGAGATGATAAAGGAATTGCTGGCACTCTGGTCACATTTAGCATAAGCAAACTCAAACTTAGCTGGGTAACAGAAAAGGTCTGTTTGAATAAACAACATTTAAGTTGAAGGATAAATAACACTTAAGCAGTTGAGATAGAAAGGAAGGTTGTTCTAGGCAGAGCAGGGGGCCAGTGCTGGGGCACATGTACTAAAGATGGCAAAGTACACACCAAGYTCACAAAAAAAAATTCCAAAGATCAGCTATCTTCTCCATCCCAACAACTCCCCAGAAGCAGGAGGGAACTTTCCAACCCAAAATAATTCTCCATAAGAATAAAGCTAACAAGGTTGGACTCAGTGGTACATGCCTATAATCCCAGTAGCTCCAGAAGCTGAGGCAGGAGGATTTTGAGTTCAAAGCCAGCCTCATCAAAAGTGAGGTGCTAAGCAACGCAGTGAGTTCTATCTCTAAATAAAATACAAAATGGGGCTGTGGATGTGGCTCAGTGGTTGAGTGTCCCTGAGTTCAATCCCTGGTACCCGCTCCCCGCAAAAAATAAAGGTAACAAATGCTGCAGGAGGAGAGGGACCCTTAGGTTACAACAAAACAACAACAAAAAGGAATATAGGTTTTTTCACTTCCAAGAAGATAGAGTGGACATATTCTTTTCTATTCCACTTGCTAATAAAGCTAAAAATCCTGGACATTATACATAAACTGAACATAAGAAGAAGAACATGAAAGGAATCTGAAAAGTGAGGAAAGGCAGACAGGCTACCTCAGGGTCTGACAAGCAACCTGGTGAATTCTCTGGGTTTTCTTTTTGCTTTATATACCCAGTTTTAGAGCTGAGGAAATCAGCCAACACAGAAAGAAATCTAGGTACAGGGAAAAAAAAAAAAAAAAACTCCAACAAAATCCTGCCCTCTGTAAACACAAGACAAGAAAAGGAATAGCCTAGAAAGAGAAAACTTAGACACCAAGAGCTGCTTTCCATCCAAACACCACAGAATAAACTGTCACCCCACTCACAACCATACCAGTAAAATCCAAGTAGGTTGCCTATAACAGGGTGCTCCTATGTTAAATAATGACACAGATAGCCTAGTGGAGAATCAGGACTTTCACCAGTGACAGCAGGAACAAAGCCAACTCCGTCATGGTTTCAGTGGACACTACCCTAACCTATCATGTTTTGGGGTATTGGATGGTCCTAGTTCACCAGCTTCCCTGAGGCTGACTGCATTGTACATTAAAGATGAGGTTCAGGAGGCTGAGACAGGAGGATTGCAAGTTCAAAGCCAGCCTCAGCAATGCGAGGTGCTAAGCAACTCAGTGAGACCCTGTCTCTAAATAAAATACAAAATAGGACTGGTGATATTGTTCAGTGGTCAAGTGCCCCTGAGCTCAATCCCTGGTACCCCTCCTCCCACCAAAAAAAAAAAAAAAAAGATGAGTCTTAGAAACCACCTCAAGCAGTTCATTCCAGCTGCATTCTTACAAGTTAGGTAATGGGAGCAGGTTGGTATTATAGGACAGAAATATTTAAGGGGTCAGATGATTAATTGACCTAGAGGTTCTCTATCCTGAGACCATTTTCAGAATCTGGGGGATTCTTCTCTCTTTCTTATACAAAATGCATTCAGTATAGTTACTAGGTATTTCTTTCACAGAGGAAGTTGAAGCCATTCTTGCAAAGGTAACCTTTGTTCTAAGGTTTATAAAAGTTGTATTTGCTGAGGGGATTTTGTTTCTTGGAAATCCCCAGGCCAGGTTGCATCATAGTGCTAAGTGACACATAGTRTTAATCCTGCAAGACACTTGAGTGGGCTTATGGTTGTTATTARGCCACGATAAGTCTCATAGTGTACTACATTCCACCTCCTGACCCTGAAGAGGTCAATAACTTAGAAAGTACCTGAACTTGAAAGTATACTCCATGGCCACTCAAATCTCAAACATATCTGCTGTTAGCACACTGAGGAGGAGTCAGTGGCATCCTCAGAATAATCTGGTAAGAACCAAACTGCATGATCAGCAGAGGGCATAGAGTAGGTCCAGTGTCCAGCTGAACAATTAAGATAAGGAGAGGGGAGTTCAGCTGTAGACCTAGGGCAGACTCGACAATGGTGAGGGAAGTTTGTGGTTCAAAAGTAGTTTCAGGGCGTGCATGAGTGGCAGAAGGCCAGTGAAGTCACATGTAGCAAGCTGAAAGGTTGGCCCCTGTTGGTGACCAAAATGACCCATGGCGGAGGATGACAATAACTTCAATTCCAAGTGATCAATAAACAGTCTGGGAAGGCACAATTAGATATGAAACATCAGACTGCCTGGAACTGGAAAAGGCAGTGGGCACACTGGGGCTTGGAAAAATGGCCACATGAGGACGTAGAAGGAGTTGAACAGACCTAGTAGTAGCAGGCTTGGAACTGCTTCATTACAAAGCAATGGCAAGTGGGAGTGAGTCAGGAGGATTAAGAGGACTTGAAAGCAAGCAGTAAGGTCTGGAGATACTGTGTGTGCTGGGGGTGATATCAAAGATGCTTGATCTTGGGTATGGTCCAAGCCAAAGTTTGAGCCTTGTCCATCTCAAATGGCTGCCAGTCTCAACAGCTGTTTACTTAGGAGTTGGAGGCTATGCAAACAGTGGTGGAGGAGGCTCAAGAGACTACTGGGCAATTACACCAGTAAAGGCCTTTACCAGGTGGCAATGTAGTCAGGGTTGATGGGTTGGTCTGTGCAACCCTCCCAGGTATAAGGCAGCAATGTTATCAGTGAAGTCATCTTCTAGTAGATGGGAAAATTGGTGCTCAGCTGTCTGGGTCGGTGGGTGGATGGRCCCTGTCTGCTTAAGTAAAATCAGGAAGAATTCATGAGGTCTGTTGGAGATGAGCCAATCTGGGAGCACCCTTCAACATTCTGCTGCCAGAAGACATTGCTCTGTCCTTATTTCACGTGGCTGGATGGGTCTCCTTCCATGGGCAATGGGCCTGGGGAGGCCTGGAGAGTGGACCTGGTGTTATAACTCCAGCTTCAAGACATCCTGCTGGCATAAATACCATCCTCCTCTTTGGAGACTGTCTGCCCTTACTAGGGCCAGAGTGGTCTTAGTAACAACAGTGGCAGGTTTTGCCTGGTGGCACTTTCCACAGCAAAGGCATGCACAGGAGGCAGCAACAGACCAGAAAGCAGAATAAAAATCACTCACTGTGAACGTTCCACAGGGTTTCACAGATGTCTTGATCAGAGACAGTACCCASCTACTCTTTCTTGATTCTCCCATAGAAATGAGTGTTAGTACTCACTGCTCACTTAGTTATTCCATCCTAATTGCCAGTGGGTAGTCCTAGTTAACCCACTTCTTCAAGGGCGAGTTYTCCCCTCCTATTCAATTTGCCTTAAAGATGGGTCTTAAGTACTCTCTTACAGTGCTATTTTTTTTTCTTTTGAGGACTTTTTTACTAGTAGTGAAATTCACCATAATACACATTTCCTGTTTACACAGTCTAATTCTTTTTCATGTATAAATACTAAATTTGAAGTTTGGGCCTCTTTTTAACCTTGTTAGGTAGATAAAATGAAATATGTCACTTACACTATTTTTCAATTGGGATTCTATTGAATAGGAATGTTAAGAATGCACAACTTGATCCCCATGATCTCTTTTGTTTGTGACTTAAATAGTGAAAAGACAAGACAGGTGATGAAGGGTTTTACAGTGCTCTTACAAGACAGCAGGGAAAAAAAAAAAAAAAAAAGCAAAAGCCAGCTAGTGGCATGGGCCAGATACACTCAGGCGTCAGACCAATTGGGAGAGTGTCCATCCAGAGACCCTTCTCAGAGTCTGGGGGATCCTCTCCCCCTTCTTATATCTGTCTTCAGTCTGGATCRTTTACTGGGTGTTTCTTTCACGAAGGGAGTTTAAGCTATTCTTGCAAGGGTAAGTTTTTTCCTAAGGTTTAGGAGAGTTGCATCTGTGCTGAGGTAGCCTTGTCTGCTGGAAGTCCCTGAGCCAGGACTGGAAACTCCCAGGGACAGGTTGTATTACACTGTTAAGTGACACATAGTATCCACCCTGCAAGACACTTAAGTGCCTATGGCTATCTTTAATCTTAATGCCACCATATGYGTATGCTTTATGGAGCATACACACCAGCATATCAATGAGCTCCTTCCTGAAGAGCCAACTGGGCCAAGTGGGGAACCTGGACTTCTACCTCCAAGTGGCAATGATGCAGTACTCTCCCTCATGCTACTGAAGTGGTATCAGGGAAAGACAGCTGAGAYAGACGTTGTAAGATCCAAAGTCTCATCACATAGTACGAAAATTTCCAGGTTTCTATCAACATTCACTTTTAAGACCAAGAACCAGGAAGATCTCAGAGGATTACAGACAATACGATTTAATTTATACAACATTCTCAACCTAACAAAATTATAGCACTGGAGAACAGAATGGCGATTACTMAAGGTCACGGAGGAAGTGAGATGAGAGAAGTAGGTGTGGCTGTGAAGGTGACCCCTGTTGGAGGGGTCCTTGTGGTGATGGAATTGTTCTGTATCTTCACTGTACCAATGTCACCATCCTGGCTGTGATGTGGTCCAATCAAGAAGTTCCCATTGCAAGATGTTTGTGCAAGATATGACCATTGAGGGAAACCCAGTGAAAGATATACGCAATCTCTCTGAATTATTTATTACAATTATATGTGGATCTGCAGGTATCTCAAAATAAAAAGTTCAATTTCAATTTTTTTATTAAATAATTTAGTCATCTCTATCCCTGGATACATCCATGTGTAGATATATATTTGGAGAAAAGTCTGGAAGGATGATCACATGAACATTAAAAAAAAAAAAAAAGAATTTAGTGATTAAGATTTTAACCTTTGGGGATCAGCTCTTACCTGTAACAAAGTTCCCATGAGTGAAGCCAGAGCAGCCATTCCAATACACAGAGCTCCATACAGCACACCTAGATGCATGATTTAAGAGGCAGGGTAAAATTTCGACCCAGATAACTTGAATTGTCAATAAAATAGGCTACTGCATTTCTGAATCAAAGTGAACAATAAGACTAAGGAAAGATGGGCCACACGCCTTGGATCCAGCAAAACAAGGAAAGAGGTATTTTCCTACAAGATCAGCAGGGTACAAACAGGACCAATAAAGCCCTTCTATTGTGTCTCAGGATTAGGATTATATCAGTAGATTACATAAGAAAAGAATCCCTAGAATTAACTACAGGGATTTTAAAACTAAGAACTATTGTGTTATTTATTTAATCCTCCATAAACATTTGTCTATAAAGAAAGGCTCAGGTTTCTGTGTTCAGCCTGCCAGATCTCTGATCCAGACAATAAGGCAGGAGAGGAGACTCATAAAACATCAGAAATTGGACTCTGCCGACCTTCGGCATTCATTTCTCCTGGGAAGGGGCAATACACACCAGGGGATTGAAATCTTAGGCCCCTATAATCTCCATTAGCATCCCCAAGATTTTCTTGTTAAACTTGCAAAGCAAGGTCACTTCAAGAAAAATATATTTCCTCTTCGACCAACTTATTTTTATCTAAACTTCTTTATGGAAATTCTCCAGCCACCACCAGTTGCRTCAGACTGTGTAGACCATGGGATTTTTTTGTTCTTATTTTGATTTTTGGTATTTTCCATATTTTCTCCAGGTACATCTGTTGCTTTGAGAACTAGGAAACTATTATTCCCTCAAATTTCTTATTTTGAAAAATCCATCCAGCAAAAATTACCTGAAATTACCATATAATTTCCCATGCTCAAATTCAAAATATAGAAAAAAAATGAATGGGAAATTTCTTATCATGTAAAATGAATACATTCCTTATGTTTTGTTATCCTATCTTATTTATACTAGTACCCACTCCTTTGCTAAGTACATTAATTATCTGAAAAGAGTTTCTATTGCAATGATTTTTCAGTGCCTCTCAGTCCTGATATAAATAGTATTTCCAATATGTTTAGCTTKATTCTTCTCCATTTGATAGGTTATGAACAGTCACCATTATGGTCAAAATTATTGAAAAAACATTCAAATTATCTGTCCTGTTCTTGTTTATGATGTCCTTAAAGCTTATTACCAACATAATAAGTTCATAAAACCATTAAAAATGAATGAAAAAAAAAAGATTGAAAATCTGACATATGTTAGCAAGCTGATTTGTTATTAATCATCATCAAGGACAGCCAAATAGATCCCTGGGAATTGTTCTGGATGATCCACCAACAATTAAACCTTTGAAGTATCTCCCAAATCTTGGTTACAAATATGGTCATGTCTTCATTAAGCCATAGGAAATACACACACACACACACACACACACACTCAGAGGTACTATATTTCTTCAGAGGAAAAGAATTTCTAATACCTCAAAAAAGTCATCTCTGAGCTACAATGGAATTGTGAATATAAAAACTTACTCATTCCTTGGGAAATCCAAGACAGAGACCTTTCTGAGAGTGACCGGAAGTGAGGCTTGATCAGATCTTCCACAGTTACGGCTGCTAAGGCATTAATACTGGAAGACACTGTGCTGAAAGGGGAAAAAAAACCTTTTAAGTCATAATATTTTAATTTTGAAAAATACTTTTGGTGGGAATAAAAAAGAAGGAAGCAAATTGACACTTCTAAAATGTAACCAGATTGCCAAGTTATCTTCAGTGATCACAGCATCCTCTTTCTGGAAGCTGTTATCATCCAAGAATRATTCAAACAACAACCACAGGCTAAAGAGTAAAAGAGAAAGGATAAGTTAATGTTTCCTCTACTTTCCTGTTAACCCTCTGTCTATAAAAAGAATTGACATATATCACTCAGTTTTATCTTATAACAATATTAAAATATATTTTTGTACATAGAAAAGACTGTCCTCAATCCTCAGTAATATATGCCGTAAATATCAATCTTATTAATTTATTAACATATACTGTACATGTTGATGATAACAATCCCCTGGAGCAAACATAAGAAGAAAGTGCAATTAGTAAGTTCAATAACAAAACACAAGAGTATATATACAGTGAATATTATTCAACATGTGAGTAAGAAATCTAATTCTAATTTGTYAGTTGACTATGCTTCAGCCACATGCATGTTTTAAACATGACTATAGGCACCCATATTTGATGATCAGTGAAAGGAACCTTCAAGTGATCATTTCTGTGACCCTATAGGATATGCTACGGTATATTAGAGATCAGAAGCCAGGTTGGAAGTGGGGTCTGATGACAAAGGGTGCTACTCCACAGAGATAAGAGAGTCAGACCAACAAGAGAGGATACGTGGAGAAGTTTGCCTGTTTGGGGTCATCTGTGTCATGTCTAGAATGAAGCTTTTTCACCCAAAGTAACCGACAAGAAAAGAAAGATGCCTATAGGAAATAACATGCTCACAGGGTTATAGTTCATACCTCAGTGTTCCACTGTAAGCACAGGCCACAAAAAGTCCAGGAACTCCCGGATAATCTTGCAGAATATCCAGTACCAGATATGGCATGAGCTGAAAAATTCCAAAATTTATGCCTAMAAATTATTTGTTATTGAATAAAATCAATGAATATCTGATGTATCTGTGTTTTTTTCATAAATAGAAGGAGCTACTTCACATAACAAAAATTTTCAAACACATAAAACTTTAATAGCTTTAATTGCTAACACTTAAAGAAACAAAAGACRATAGTTAAGTACACAAGCTATGGAGTCAGATAGACATGGTTTGGGTTACTTAATTTCTCCGAACCTAGGTTCCGCCATTTCTAAAAAGGGTAATATAATAATAACGCATAGAGATACTGTAAAAGGTAAGTTACATAATCTAGGTAGATCTTTTAGAATAGAACATGGAATATAATAAATGCTCAATAAAAGCAGCTCTTAGTTTATGAAATAGTAAGAGACATTCTTAAGGAAACATTTTACACATGTCTGTGTTTAAGAAAGTAGCATCCTCTTTGTTTGATACCTCAAGGCTATTTAATGAACTTCAATCACTGCTCAAGACTAAAGACMAAATTTGACTTGCACATAGTGATGGGTAGAGTGTGACCTCGAAAATCTCTGAAACGTGTTCTTTACAGAAAGTTCTTGATACCAAGTGCTTTCTGATAATRTAAATGTTTAAAATAAATATTAAATAAGGATGAACAGGTATGTGACTTTAGGACTATATTTATTACTTGGTCATCTTTCTGAAAAATTACTTTTTTAATCAAAAGAGTCCTAAGTGGACAATTTGATAGAAAGTATCCTTCATTTGCATTGAGCCTTTATTGATTACTTGTCCCACAGTGCAGAATAKAAGTCATGCTCTATCTTATCAGCTTTTACAGCCTCTATGGTTTCTTTTAGCAACAGTGTATGGATGGGATATGGAAGACCTTTCTCCACTATYGAAAAGATCTCTGTTATTTTAGGAATACTTTCTTCACCTTCTCCAAAGCTTATAAATTCTTTATTCTCAAAAAAAAAAAAAGAAAGAAAGAAAGAACTTCTTCCCAAATGAAATCAAGACCCAATTTTCCCAAGATACTYTTAAAAGTTTAACTTTAATGAGTTTTACTCATTAGCAAAAGTAAAATATCTATCATTAGTATCATAATGAGGTCCAAAAAATTTTTTACCTTATGATCAATTTTCCCCAAAAAATTATCAGTATGATCCCTTCATACTCTGAATGACTCCCTCAGGTATAGGTAGAATCGATGAGATAAGGTTGCTAGGCAAGAAAATAGTAAAATTAAATCTAGGCACTAGCTGTGCTTGCCCAGGCTGTGGACCATCAGCGTAGTGGAGACATCTCTTTGCACTTCTGAGGATAACATTGATCTGATCATCCAATGACTCTGTCTAATTAGTATTGTGTCCTCAGTGAATGTCCTAGTTGAATTCATTCTTAACTAATAACACAGTACTAGAAGCATCTATTGTGGTGTTGGTGGTGGGAGAGGTGGTCTCATCAAGAGTTCTCTAGATGAAACAAGCAAGATGCTTTGAATACAGTGCACAACAAGGAGTCTCAAAGGTAAGGTGTTTTGGAGTTTTTTGTTTGTTTGTTTTTGTTTTGTTTTGTTTTGTTTTGTCCCAGGGTAAGGGAAATGCATATTGAAAACATTCTTTAAATCCTTTTTTGTCTTCGTGATATAAACCATAGATGATAAATACTGACAAAAATCAAAAAGTTCTTGATTTGAAAGAACATAACAAAAAAGTGCCTCCATCTTCAGGGTATATGAGAACTTCAGAGGGAATGTTTACCAAACAGGTCAAGTTAAAATGGGGTTGAGACATGCAGCTTCAAGAGGCTGTCATTTAATCATCCCACAAAGATGCATTTTTCTTGAACTAAATAATGCATTTGCATCCACATAAAATTGAGTCTGTTTTCATCCTATGAGGCCCCTGGATGCTGKATGTAAAGCAAGTCTTAGTAATTTTGGCAAGAACACAGGCTTTTTGAGGTCAGGTACTCTTGAATTTGAATTCTAGCTAAATTCTTTGAAAGACAATGCATGGCACAGAGGTTCACAGGACTCTGGTGGCAGCCTGTCTGGGTTTGAATCCTGGCTCCAGATTTACAAGCTAGTTACTTTAACTCCTCTCTACCTTAGTTTCCTCATCTTTGAAAGGGAGATAATATAGTCCATAACTCAGAACACAGTTGCGAAAATAAAAAAATTAAAATTTATATAAAGCACCCGTGATGGTACCTGGCCCACGGTATCTGCTAAGCACTCCTAGTTATTCTTATTTATTAGCCTCTCTGAAATTCATTTTATCATATATAAAATTAGAATTACAGGCTTGTGAGAATTAAATGAAGCATGTTAGTATTCAACCCATGTTTACTTACGAGATCTGTTTCTCTAYGATTTAAAAACCAGAAGATAAATTGGTTATAAGTAAGCAATCTAACATCACCCACCAAATGTTCCACAGGACCACAGTTTGTGTATAGACTTTTTTTCAACTATGTTTACATTTTTACTCCTCGCCCTGAGTTATTTCTATTTAACACCTGGCCTAAAATTTTTCCAGGTATTTCAACATTTTAATGTTAGATTCAGCACTCTTCATTTTTGCTCTATCTGCTAAAATACATTTTGGCCAAATGCTTTTGAAATATGGTAAAATTGTGCCCATTTGCTCTTTCCTATGAAGACAAGGACTCTTCCTCCCCCTGACAGATATGCTTTTATAATGTCTCTAATGCATGTGTGAAGAAGACATGGCGTCAAACCTGGTCTGCTGCAGACACTTTCTTGGCTGTCCAAGGGTCACAGTCATGGTACCTGGAATACAGGGCAAGCCCACAAAATACTGAGCAGACGAGGATTATCCAGAGTCCCACAAGATTGATGTAGAGAGACCTAAAGAAGGGAAAAACAGAGCCTTAAATTAAAACTGTAATTTCTATTCCCAAGATTAAGAAAACTGTTGCTCTAACAGAAGAGAGCTTCGAGATAATATTCAACAAATGTACATTACTTTTTGGTGAACGAATTCTACTTTTAAAAGTTTAGGCTGATCTTCTGCTTCAACATATATCTGGAAATATTTATAACAGTTGATGTTTTCCATTGAATAAGAGTTGACTCTTAGTTGGAATTCCATGGGCATTGGTAGCTTTATAATGGTATCCAATTATACTAGTTTGGGTCCTCATGTCATGAAGTAAGTATTTTAATAGGCAACAGAGCAGTAAAGGTTATGCATTTTCCCTTTAAAAGTAATGTAATTATAAACTACTAAGTATGGCTAACATTTATATAGCTACTCACCAAACTTGTTTCAATGTAGTTCATAAGACCACCCATTTAGGTATGAAAGAAAACCTTGTATTCCCTGAACAGGTTCTTCTCAAGTCAAGTTCAGCATTATAACTTTTACTGCGTGCTCCAGAAGAGTTTATACTCAGCCCTGAGCATACACACTGGCTCTGCATATGGGATCTTGAACAAGTAATCTAGACTCTGTGATCCTTAGTTTCTTCCCTTACATCTAGAGATACACTGCCCCTGTCAGAGAGCTATAAGATTAAACAAAACAGTATACTTCATTTAGCACAACACTTGGCATATAATAAATACTTGTTAAATGGTAGTTATGGCTATTAATGGTGTAAATRTCATTGAATGCTTTGTCTTAATAATCAGTTGACTAGTAAGCATTTCTCTCCTCAAAGTTGCYATGTTATCTTTCCCAATGGGTCTGGAATGGAAAATATCATGAACTACCTTAGCCTGAAAGTAGGTATGTGCCTCATAGCCATGCCTCCTTCTCTTAAGGAAGTCTGTGCCCAATAACTAGAGGATTCAGAGGTTTAAAGGCCCAGTCCCCTCACTCTTAACTTGGGACCAGTCTGAAGTCCCCAGGTCCAGAGCTCCCCTTGTGGCCTCTATTGAGACTGCATTACAGTCTACCCTCTCCCTCTGGCCAATCCTGCTTCCTGCCTTCCCTTATTTAAGTTGCAGCTCCCTAATAAACTTTTGCATGTTAACTTTCATCTCAGAGTCTGCTTCCTGGAGAACCTGCTGCAATAGGTACCAAGCAACAGATTGCTAGCTTTTTCCCTTAAATTCACTAGTTTCACCATCTTTCTTTTTTGTCTAAAAAGTGCAAGTAACTGTATCTTATCTCCAAATCATCAAAATTATACTCACTCTAATGTTCAAACACCTCCCTCTTTCATATCTGAATTTAATGCTGTTAGAACCAAATTGTTTTATTAAACTTGAATAATATTCAAATAGTTTGATTATCCACGTTATTGTTCCTTATCAATCAACAGCAGTAGGCCTCGGCACCAGTATTAGAAATCAGTGGAAACAGGTCTCCTGGGTCAGATAGTCTTCTTGTTTAGGAGACTTATTGGGTTATCTGAAGGAAATTGATTCAGTTATAAAATTGGTTTCATATTCAAAAAGAAACCAAAGAGGAGTCTGTACACAATTACTTTAGGAGAAACCTTGGCTCTAACACAGATTAGAAGTCCAACAGACTATCATATGTATACATATAAATTATATCATTTTAAAACTTAAAATGCCAGAATTCCTAAGCTCACCTTTGAGGAATTCCCTACCCTGTTATTAAATCCACATTCACATAGACCTTTCATTGTGGAGTTTTCCAAAGACTTAGATAATTTCTAAACTAATTTACTCTGAAAAACTGACTCCTGACCTCATACCTTTGAGTAGAAATAGAATTGCCAGGTTTTTTTTTTTTTCCCCAACTACACTGTATTCTTAATCTATTTGGAATTTTTAGGTCCCTAAATGCATGTGAGAAAATCAACCTTATTTACCAACATGGGGAATGAGGGTCACCAACCTGATCTGAGGCCAGCTGCCGTCCTATAGTCTTTGCTCTAGACAAGATGGAAGCCCTGGCCCTGCTGGCCTTACTACCCTGTGCTTTTGTCCAGATCCCCCTATCTACCTGTAACACCTTCCCACTCTTCTCCACCTGCCCAGATTATGATCATCCATTCTGCCAAGCCAACAGGAATCTCCACCCACCCGCTACCTTCAYATTAAAACAGCTGAAGTAGAAAAAGGAATTAACACTTACTAGACCCCACCATATATGTGCCAAGTACAGTATTTTACAAAACTTTCCATGAGAAGTATGGTATTTCTTACACTCATTTCATAAAATTAGAAACTGAGACTCAGAGAGACTAAGTAATTTGTCCAGGATCATTCAAGCAGCCAACAATTCGAGAAGGGTTATAAAGTCATGGCTGAGCTTGAAAATAAAATATAAGTTACTATATATATATATATATATATATATATATATATATATATATATGAAATGTTCCTATATAGGAACATTTCTTCTGTTATATTGTTTCATGGAACTATTATATCTCTCTAGTATTATTTCATTTTTATATACTTGATATTATGTTCCCTTATGACAAGGGCCATATATTTATATTTTATCCCCTATACATCCTTATAGAAATGGATGCATAAGAACTGCTTATTTATTTGATAAAGTTTGTTTTATTTAATAATTGACATAAATACTTTCAAATATYTACCACTTTGTTCTGCTTGGTCCTTTTGTAATCAAGTATATAATTTATCTCCTAGAATTTCATGACACTTAAGATTTAAACTTGAGCTAAATTTGACTTATGAAATGAGTTCCCACAATTAATAGCTATTAATGATTCATACACCACAGTTTGGCTTACAGCTTTGCCTGGAATCTGCTTTTACAGGAAATGTATCTCTGTACTTGTGACTGGTTGATACCGTAGATGCTGGTCCATGTGAAAGTCCCTCCTATAATAATTGTCCAGAACGTGTGTCTTTGCAGAGGGTTAGGATTAAAGCTAAATGAAAAGAAGCAGAAAACAAATTTGAACTATTGACAAAGGACTAAAGAAAATCTTTCTAGATTATTTTTGGATACATATATCTCTAGACATACACAAGGTTGTACWAATTTATTAAGTAATATAAAAGAAAGAAATATTTCTAACTTAAATTCCATGAAATAAAAATTGTTGTTTTAAGAGATTTGGAAATTCAAGGTAGGATTATAGAGAAATGAATGTTCTGATCATTCTAAGCATTTAGATAAGTTTTTCTCCCGTGGTCTTAGTAAACTATTGTAAATGAAGTCTGCCATACTGCAATCACAGGAGAGAGACAGAGACACAGAGAGAGGTATTCCTAAGTGCACCACAGCAATAAATATAGTACTGAAGTGAACACAAAACTAACAGATTTTGTGTATATAATTCCTCTTTTAGTACATGTACAGTCATAGTTTTAGTTTATATTCATGCTCAAGAAATACAGTTTAAAGATTTTCACTTGCTAAAAGTAACATATGTCATTATAATCATATTTTCTTAAACTATTGTGTGCACAAGCTAAATATTAATAGTTTAAAACTACTTAATAACATGTACATAAGTCCAAAATGTTGTTATAAAGAAAGTTTAACCATGGGGCTGGGGATGTGGCTCAAGCGGTAGTGCGCTTGCCTGGCATGCGTGCGGCCTGGGTTCGATCCTCAGCACCACATACCAACAAAGATGTTGTGTCCGCCGAGAACTAAAAAATAAATATTAAAAATTCTCTCTCTCTCTCTCTCTCAAAAAAAAAAAAAAAAACAGAAAGAAAGCTTAACCTGGGGCTGGGGTTTTGGCTCAGTGGTAGAATACTTGCCTAGCATATGTGGGACACTGAGTTCTATACTCAGCATCACATATAAATAAATAAAGATCCATCACCAACTAATAAAATATTTTTTTTAAAAAAAGAAAGCTTAACTTCTTTGTTTGAAATATCTCTTAAACCTTTTAAATATATTATCATGGAGGGATTCTGTTCATTTGTGACATATAATATAAATTTTAAAACTTTCTTCACAATTAGCTTTTATGGGTACTTCATGAAAATTATAAAATTCTGCAAAYCTATTTCAAATCTTACATTTGAAATCAGTTGAGTAAAGCATTGTGACTTTATACATATTTGAGCATTTCTTTGGAAATGTGAGAGCCTCTATTCTGTTGTCTAACATTTAATATCAAACTCTAAGAACATTGGCCCTTTCTCCCACAGACCAGCTAATTATTTCTCCCACAGACCACCTATCATTAGGCAACTAAGAACCATAACTACTTTAACACCTATTATTAGCTAATGGAAGTCAATACTCAAAAGGAGTCAATGAGCTATCTGAGTTCCCTCAAGATTTTCAACACCCAATTCTGTGATTTTCATCCTTTTCTTCATTCATCTCAGAACGACATTTTGTCCACCATATTCTCAAAACAATTCAGAATAAGAAGGAAAACACTTGAGAATTCTGAATTACAATAGGGCTTTTCATTATTACTTAATGGTTGGCAATCTTCCAAGTTAAGGTCACCAAAACATCTAATTTTATTTTTTAAAATCTCATAYTGAGGGCTGGTGCTGTGTGGCTTAGTGGTAGTGCCCTTGCCTGGTATGAGTGAGGCACTGGGTTTGATTCTCAGCACCTATATAAATAAATAAAAGTCTATCAACACTAAAAAAAAAAATTTAAAAAAATCTTGTATTGATGTATAAACTATCACTTCAATGGCAGAGATGTGTATTCTTTGCATAAAGTGACATTTATCTTGCAGAAAATGATTGGTTTCAGCCTGACCTTCTAGGAAGAGGTTCAGGAATAATCAAATCTCCTAAGTTGCCATTGTTTCCAGCTCCTGGCCTCCATTCCCCCCTCTTCTGGTGAGCACAACCCAGGTTTACTTTGGGGAAACTCTCATTTCTCCATTGTAGTCTAAATGGCTATCTATCAGTCAAAATGGCCATGTTTTGATTTGAGGTTGAAATATCTTAATTTTCCATGCTTCTTATTCATGTATGTATATATGCTTCTGGGGATCAAACCTAGGGCCTTGCACATGCTATGCAACTGTTCTGCCACTGAGCTATAACCAGCCCCTTAAAAATATTTTTGAGACAAAGTCTCACAAAGTTGTCCAAGATATCCTTAACTTGCAACCCTCTTGCCTCAGTCGGCCAGGTAACTAGGATTATAGGCATGTGCCACTGCACCTGGCTTCCACTTTTTTTTTTTAAACAGCACAGCTGTTTAAGACATATTATATCCTGTGCTACACAGTCACTTGAGGCATCAGCCATAACTTTTCTAATCAATTTTCAGAAATAATATACAGGGGCACATACCTAAAATAATAATATATAGTAATAATATGTCATATTAACACACTACATATTGCCAAGATAATTCAAAAGAGAAATCCTTGGCAATGTTTGAAATGAAGAATGATCAAAAAGGAATCACTGCCTTTTAGTATTTGTCTCCCAAGAGACATTATTTTCTTATTTTTCCAATATCTTTTCCCTTTTCACCTTATTTCACTTTTCAACCTGTTCCAGACTTTGGTTGTCTGCAAGAAAATAATTTCTTTTTTCTTTTCAGAAGGAAGTATTATCCTAACACCAGGCAACTAAGAACCGTATGACTACTTTAACCACCTATAAAGCTGGTGGGATTCTCACACATTTACTCACCAGTTTCAACTTGCTGCATCACATCATTAGTTGTTTGTTAGCTTGCTTTCTAATATAAACCTACTATTTCAATAAAKGGAAAACAAAAGGTATATTCTGTTAACTGTTATCTAAGAGGTAAATAGCAACTTACTTCCAGAAGTTTAATCTTCCACCATTATAGGCATCATTTAAAATCCCATTGATGCCACCTTGAATCACTGCAGACTGTATAATCACAGATGCAAATCCAGCTATCATGATTCCAACTTGAAAAACATCTGTCCAGATAACTGCTTTAAGACCACCCTTCAAGGGAAAAGTGTATTGGGATTAATGCTTCTGTAAAATATCATTAAGTGTCTACATACTTATACACTGTGCTGTACAAAAGTGAAGCAAACATGGATCATGAACAAGAAATGCACTCAAGAGAGATGATCAGGTTGGGAGAATCTTTAAAATTAAGGAGCTATTTAAGCCAAGCTTTCAGGCATAAGCACATGCAAAGATAGAAAGTTCTCCCGTTACAGAAAATAGCTTGGGCAAAAGCATAGACTGGTCATACTACATGGCCTGTGAATGTGGGGAGATATGTATTTTAGAGTGAAGTGAAGTGGCATGGGCAGATTRTTAGGAAGCAAATTCAGAGTTGAATTGCATAAGTCAACATTGTGGAATTTATCCTATACGCAGGGCTGATTTCCAATCAGTATGCACCCATATTGGTTGTTGAAATACTAAAATCTTTTTTTCACAAGCCTTTCTAGCTCCTATGACCTGAGCTTCATARGCCCCTGCCTGAGGACCACATCTTCTACAACATCCAATAATTAAAGGGTTGTTACCTAGAATACCAAGATCCCATAAGATTTGCACCAGTGCTAAGGATCAGCACCTGTGCTAATACCAGTGTCCTACCATAAAGTTTTTTTTTACATATTTTGTCACTCTTCCCTATGGACAATGGTAAGTTATCATAGTTTTCTGTGCTGAGAAAAGCTATAATTTAATAGCAGTAAGGAAGAATCAGGAGATAATAGGAACCAATGCCACAGGACATATGAAAGAAAAAATTTTCAGTTTAATCCATGTTCTACAAAGAATCAAATTTTACCTCAAGCCAATGTTTCTWACCAAAGTTAGACTGGGGTACTCAGGAACAAAAGAGTAAGTATGAACAACCATATTGCAGTACACAACTACTAGAAATTTCAATTTTGCAAATCAAGTAAGTAGATTAAAAGGGGAAATAATATATTTGACATACCAGCGTGCAGTAGAATGTGCAGACCACCCCAGTTGCCACTACCGCGCCCCACAGATCAAATCCTGTGACTGTAGAAGAAAAGAGCATGCATACATAACTGAAATATGCATAACAACACTTTTCAAAAATTATCATGGAGGAACATGATCTCACTGACTGAGAACCTACCTCTATACCCACTTGTCTAAAACTAGAAAAAAAAAATCTCATGTCACACAAATTATATTTGATGAGTTAAYGGACATGGTTGTAAATTCTACTCTCAGACACCATACCCAGATCCAACATTTGCTAAGTTTAATATGTAGAAAAGCATGTATGTTGTATCTAATCTAAGAAACTGATACYGTGAAGTATCTTTTCAGACTGAAAGGGGTCAAGATATTTACTATCTTTCCCCAGTAGACGTGGTTCAGATAGACATATGATTTTGCCAATCCTTGAAAGATACATGCTTATTAAAATGGGACTTAGATGGAGAAAAGTCTATATAGTTTGATCCTATTTATCTGAGAAGTGAAGTCTTTGTTACATTTTTGAAATGGAAGGATAAAAATCTAAAACAAACAGAAAAATTAGCTACCAATGAGAGAGGAAGGAAACTGGGTAGAGGAGACAGGAATATAAATAAATTTAACTTCTCTGAACATWTTTTGGTGCGTAGATATAACTTTAGAACCGCATACATATTCTGTGTAATTATTAAAAAATGAAATTAAAAAATAAACTCCTTCAAAGTGAGAACAAAATGAAATAAATCGAACCTAGTTATATATCAAGTTTGTAACATAAACACACAAGACTTTAAAACACAGTAATTTTTATAAATCCCTCTGGGACACAAACTACAAAGAACAAAATTTTAACCATTTTTTCCATYATATTATTAGTTACAATATTGGAATTTCTATTCATCCTCAATAGTTCTCAACTTTGCACAATAAAATCACCAGAGGAAATTTGTAAATCCCAATGACTGGGTCACTCAATAGGCCAATTAACTCAGAATTCTGGGGTTAGAAACCCAGGCATAAATATTTTTAAAAGCTCCCCAAGAGTGTGCCCAATGCATAATCAAGGCTGAGAAATCAAGAGACAACCTGAAGAGGCCTCTGCTAAAAAAATTGGGACAGTATCAGCATCAATAATAATACCAATCCATAATGGTATGAAATAACATCCAATCTTTAAGTCATAAATTCATAATGATAATATTTTTTAAATCTAAGCCCTTAGGAGGATAGTAGGAAACCAATTTATTGTATTTTATTTATTTGGGGATGTTGGGATTGAACCCAGGACCTTGTACATGCTAAGTATGTGTTCTACCATTGAGCTATACCCTCAGCCCTGCAATTTATTAATTTTAAAATTGATAAGCAAGTAATAAGACATTTTTCTGCCTTTCCTGAACAAAGTATTTTTCAGAATAACCCAATAAAAAACAAGATAAAGTTTCTCTTTAGATAAGTGTTTCTTTTAATTAATAAAGAAGAAATAATAGAATTAGAATGTCCCATTTTATAAGCCCTAATTAACTAATAAAACTATGGTTTATATACATCACCTAGGAAATACTTTCAAAAGGTTGCACTGCAGTCTAAAATGCAAGAAAAGCCAAGGACTTGAGACACATTAAACCTGATATGTGAGCAATCAGTAAAATAAAAATCCTGGAAAACTTGATAGAACAAATAACATAGTTTCTGCAAAAGATAAATATCAAGGGGATAAAAAAGATGAAGTAGGTTATTAATTAGAGAGACTTGAAAAAGAGCTTCATACTCTATTCAGTAAAAACTGACAGAATGGGAGAAATAGAAAAATCAGTAGCTATATTTCTAAATTTGAAGTAATTGACAGAACAAGTTTTCAAAAATCTGCTAAGATACAGAATATTTGAAAAACATTATTAACCAACAATCACACAATATACATTTTCTTTTCAGGAGCACGTGGAATGACAGAAAGAGAAACCATATTTGGGGGCCATAAAGCAAATTTCAATACATTCCAAAGGAATAAAATCATAATAGTTCTCTCACTAAAACAGCATTAATTTAGAAATCCATAACAAAATAATACATTATAAAATTTCCAAGTATTTGAAAATCAAGCAACACATTTCTTAATAATTCATTGATAAATTGTAAGAGGAATTAGAAAATACTTTTAACTGAATGATACAATAAGAATGTAAGCTTTAAAAATCTGTGGGATGCAGACAAAGCACTGCTTAAAAAGAATGCAAACTTTAAATTGTTCACATTATAAAATAGGAAAATTTTAAAACCAGTGACATAAATTTCTACCTTAAGAAGCTAGAAAAGTTAAACTTGAAATAAGCAAAAAAAAAAAAAGATATATCCAGAAAAATGATTAAAAATGTGTCTTAACAGTCACAGGAATAATTAGAATGGCCATTACTAAATATATAAGCAAGGATAACAAGAGGATATTCCAGACAATTTAGTGACAACTAAGTTGGTAAATTAGAAAGATGAATGAATTTTCTAAAAAWMACAACTCATCAAACTTTATTCCTAAGAATTAGRAAGCATTAAAAACTATATTTAATAAAGAAATTGAATCCATAAACCAAAATCTTTCCACAGAAACAAACAAACATCAGGTCCAGATGCCTTCACTGTAAACTCTATAAAGCATTTTAGAAAGAAATACATAACTTTATAAAAATTCATTCAAAAAATATAGAAGGGAGCCAGTCATGGTGGGGCATGCCTGTAATYCCAGTGGCTTGGGAGGCTGAGGCAGGAGAATCTCAAGTTCAAAGCCAACCTCAGCAAAAGTGAGGCACTAAGCAACTCAGCGAGACCCCATCTCTAAATAAAAATACAAAATAGGGTTGGGGATGTGGCTCAGTGGTTGAGTTCCTCTGAGTTCAATACTTGGTACCATCCCCCAAAAAATATATAAGAGGGAACACTTCCCAACTCATTTATGAAGCTAATATAGCTGATACAAAAATCTGACAAAGAGGACCGGGGTTGTGGCTCAGTGGTAGACTGCTTGCCTAGTAAGTGCAAGGCCCTGGGTTCGATCCTCAGCACCACATAAAGATAAATAAAATAAAGTATTGTGTCCAACTACAACTAAACAAACAAACAAAAATCTGACAAAGACATTATGGGAAAAGGAAACTTCAGAGTTCTCATGAACTCTAAAAATCCTTAACAAAATATTAGCAAATTGAATTCAGTAATATGTAAAAGGGACAATACCTTATGATCAAGCGTGGTTTATCCCAAGGAGGCAAAACTGATTTAACAATCAAAAGTTAATCAATGTAACTTCCAACATTAACAGTGCAGTAAGAAAAGGAAGAGAACTACGAGGCAGAAAGATTAGAAAATAAGTAAAAGTGCTCTATACATGAAAAACATAAAAATCCTAAGAGATCCCAGCAGCTTGGAAGGCTGGAGAAAAGTATTTGAAGTTTAGAGCTAGCCTCAGCAATTTAGCAAGGCCCTAAGCCACTTAGTGAGACCCTGTCTCAAAAATCAGAAAGTTTTAAAAAGGGCTGAGGATGTGGCTCAGTGGTTAAGCACCCCTGAGTTTCATTCCCTGGTATCAAAGAAAAAAAAAAAAGAAAAAGAAAGAAAGAAACAGAAGCAAAAGAAATCCTAAGGGATCTCCACAAATGAACTTGAATTTAAAAGTAAATTTAGCAATTTCTTTTGATAGACCATAAAAATCAACTGCCTTTTTATATAATTGCAATAAATAGTTGAAAATTATATTATGAAGCATACTATTTGTAATAGTATAAGAATCAGTTMCCTAGGAATAAATCTGAAATCTATGCCCAAGATCTAAATATCAAAAACTACAAAACATTACTGCAAGAAATTTTAAAAGACCTAAGTAAATTGTTGGATCACCRTATAACCTATTGAAAGAATGTCTGCTTCTGTCAAGTGTCAGTTCAAGTTTTCTGTCCATCTTTTACTAGATTATTTGTCATTTTAAATTTATGAGCCAATAAGCTCAACAACAGTAGTCATCAGAAAAAAAAATACAAACTAAAACTACAATACAATAACATATAATACCTACTAGAATGGCTAAAATGAAAAAAATTAATTCCAAATGTTTGTGAAATTCTCACATAGTGTGGAATGGGATGTAAAATGGTACAAACATTTGGAAAGCTATTTGTCAATTTCTCCTAAATTTCATACATATACCTAACCTGAGTTGGGTCAGAATAGATATATGTTTAACTTTACACCACTTTCACGTATTTCTTTTCCAATAAGAATGAAAATAGATGTCTAAATACAAAACAAAACACACACGCACACACACACACACACACACACACACACTCACACAAGCACATGCCCCACACACGGTGCCAGAATGTTCTTGGCATCCTTAAAACTGGAAACAATCAGATGTCCATCAGTTGGGGAGTAAATAAACAGATTTTGGTAGATGGAATACCACTAGAAATGAAAAGGAATGAACTATCAATACATGAAGCAACATGAATTAATTTCAAAACATTGTGCTAACTGAAGAAAACAGATACAAAAGGGTTCTATATATTTCTACTCAGATAAAATCTAATACCAGGGAAAAGTAATTTATGGTCATAAAAATCAGAGAGTAGTTGCTCAGTGGGGTTTATTAGAAAGAGGCAAGAGCAAAATTTCTGGGATTCAATGATGAAAATATTCTAGATCTTGAGCTGGATGGTAGTTATGGGACTGTGCACAACTGTTAAAATTCACCCAACTGCATACTTATGCCCTATACATTTTATTACATATAAACTCTATGATCAGCTCTGGACATGAGAATGCTTTATTAAGCTGGTTTTCAATTTTAGAAAAAAGATAAATTCAACAGATATATCAATTAATTGCAATTATACAAGCTTATTTGGATCCTGATTCTAATAAACACTGAAAAAAATCAGGGAAATCTAAACACTGACTTAATATGAAATTAAGAAATTAATTTTAATGTTTTAGATATGTTGATGGTACAATTCTCTTTTAAAAACAAGCCCTTGTTTTTAAAAGACATACTGAAGTATAAATGAAATAAGATTTCCATTTACAGCAAAATAATCTAATGAGGGAAATAGAGAGTGAATTAAAATTGACCATGAGCTGATAATTATTAATGTAGGGTGGTGGGTACATTAGGATTCAATGCATTATTCTCCCTATTTTTTTTGAAGCTTTCATGTTTGAAGCTTTCCATAACACCAAAAGAACATTAAAAAAGGTTTCATCTAAAGAATATTGAATTTCAATTCAGTTAAATGATTTTTTACTTAGCTTCTGTTGCACACCAAATACTGTGACTATGTCTTTAAAACTCTAACATCTTTAATTACACTTAAAATCAATAGGTAACTTATAAAGTTTATAGCTCAGTTCTTGACATTGGAAATAATCCATTCCTGATGTGGGTAATATTGACACTGAACATGCCTGGCATTCAGAGTTCAAGAGCATGTTCTATAATGGAACTCTTCTTTTATATTGATACTGTTGCACTTTGTAAGTGTAGGTGATAATAACTATCAGATTCATTATAAAATAAAGAAAACACAAATAGGGAGTTAGTAGGTTTCCTCTATATTATATTAACTCCAGGAATTGCACCACATTCTTAACCATCACAGGGTCCACTTGTCCATTTCACAAGGAAGTTTTAGAGATAAACTCACTTCCAACTGATAAGAATTCAAAGGACATGGGGTTTCCCCCAAAGCCTTTTGAAAATATGAACCTTTGCTTTAATAAACTCTCCCAATCTCTCTGTTTTTGTCAACTCAAATCTAGAGTCTAGGGAATCTGTTGATCAATATGATCTTCACAGGTATTTTATGATAATACTGTAACCGTCTGTCTTCTTGTCACTAGGAACCCGATATTTCAAACCACAGAGCTTTCTTTTCCAATATGGACCATATTATGAGTAGAAAAGCTGCTCTCCCTGACAGATTTTACCATGCACCTGAGCAGTACACTCTTGGAAATGGACGCCAGGTAATAGACACAAAAGAGAGAGTTCAGTCATTCATGATGTAACCTATAGGGGGCGTTTGTTCTGAAGAAATGGCTGCTGGACACATCCCAGAGTGACACCACCCAGTGCCAGGCTGCCCTGTTACTAATTATAGACATTCTGGAGATATTCATCCATAAACCCAAATAAGCTAGTATAGGCACTAAACCAYCCTACTCCTCTCATAAAGCTAATATGGGAAACTGGAAATATTTCTCCATCTCTCCATCTTCCCAAAGAGAAATTAGGGCTTACTGAAAATGAATCCTAAACTGGGAGTTATGTGATTGGGTGATCCAAAATGTACCTTGATTCAAAGCCAGGGCAGGAGCATAAATAACAATTCCAGTATAAAGGATCTAAGAGGGAAAAAAAAAGAAACTCAAATGAATTATATATTAACTACAAAATAAAATATTGATTATTCCTGTAAAGTCAATTATGAATTAAAACAGCAGTTTCAATATATCTAATAAAATTCAAATAACTTGAAAAATGTTAAGTAAGTTTGATTGTTCTTTGGTGGTATAGTCACACAAAAATCATTTATGAGCAGATTTTTATAAAAATACAATTTTTAATGTGGTGATTTGTGCAAATGTTCACTGACCCACCAACTCAAACTTAAAATAAATTTTCCTAGGTTTAAAACAATAACGAAGAAAAACTATAACTTTAGAAGAGCTCTTAATCTCCAAACTATTGTTAATCACCATCTAATTAATGTTTTAAAAAGTAACATTTTTTAAAAGTATCCAGTTTAAAGTTTTAAGTTTGTGTGTTCTTTAATTAGACCAAGTGTAAATTTGCACTAAAAACTCTGAAAGCCAACAAAAGCCACAATCCATCTTTTTTATATTATTTTTCATTTATTTGCATTCAACTTATATTTATTGACCTGTGTACACTTGTTGGGTGAATTCAGTCTTTCTCAAAATATCAGTTTCATTGCATTGATCTTTTAAATATATCACACACAGGTTAACACCAAGAGTATTCCATAAAAACACATTATGGTAAAAACATATTATGTACCATCTGAATGTTTGATCATACTGCATGTAGTATATGGAAATAAGTCCTATAAGTGGGAAGTGATAAATATCTCTTCTTTTTGCAAGACTGAGCCMGTTTTCCAAAGTCATTATTCTGTCCAAGCTGAAGATATGAATGAGACAGGCTGTCTTCCTAATAATGGTTCCCACTTCTTATTTCTGTTGACATTTTAACATAAATACATAGAAGATTTCAGCAGTTGACAAATGCAAGCTACCAGCCTTCAGCTCTGTATCAGAATCCCTGCTTGATCCTAAAAAGCACTCTTTTACTCTGCAAGTATTAAGAATGGATAAATTCTAAGTGACATAATTTGCAAAGATATAAAATGGAATGGAGTTAAATAACTTAGAAAGGCACTCTGAACTACTGGAGCAAATGCTTCAGAAACGTTTGATTGGAGAAAGAGTATTGTTATTAGGAATAAGAATGAAAACTCCTTCCTCAACCTGGATGGGCGAACTCAGGCTTTAAAGTGCTTAACTGCCAAGAGGAAGATGGATGTAAATGATGAGACAATGACTATGAAAATCCTCCAGCAACCGGATGTAGAGTAGGAAGTAAAAACATCACTGACTGCATGGCAAATCCTTGCTTTCCATTTGTGTCAACCAGTAAATCTATACTTGCATAGTCTTGAATTACTGGATTGTGTATCTGTCTTTAAAAACTCCTCCAGAGCTTGTGATTCTACTGCTTTGCACTCTGAGGGACTGCTTCAGTTGGGTCTTATAGTACAATATTTTAAAGAGCACTGATCCTTTTCTAAAGTATGCTTTCAAACAAATAAAATTGTTTCCTAATGTCTTACTATCAGTTTTTTTCATATTTATTGCACAACATGTTGAAAAAAAATACTGTGAGACACAAAACTTGTTTTCCCTTTGTTAGAATTCCTACTGTCACTGACCACAGCTCCCTCAAATATCTTTGCCATCTAGTAATGCCCTTACTGTCGGCTTAGTTGAGCAGGAAAGGGGAAACACGTTTTCCTAAAGCAATATAGCTGTTGCTTGATCAACACAATATTTAAATTCACTTAAGTCACTCCCATTTTCACAAAGTAAAGCGTTTGCTGCAACACCGTTTAATAATTTTTAGGTTTAATATTGCATACTAGTAAAGTTTTTTTCTTTTTCATTTTCTCATATTTTCAATATCTCTTTATTCTCATGTTTCCTGAGTAAGGCTCACTCAAATGCCATGGATAAAAATATTTTATATGACAAGAGAGAAAATAAATTAATGGAGAGCTACTTACTGTTTGAACAATGAAAAGGACTGTTCCACAAAGTCGAACACATCTGTTAAATCGAAGTTCTAAATACTATTGCCAGAAAAAGAAAAATAGTTATTATGTGAATCTTCTGAACACTTTTTTTAAAAATCAGCAGCTTAAGAGGTAAAGAGTTAGAAATCTGAAGCAAATTTATGATGACATTTGTATTCTGTGTTTTTATTTTATTTAATATTCTTTTCATGAAGCAAAATTAACTCTTGGTTTAGAGTATAATTCAATGGTTTTTAACACATACATATTTGTGTGATCTCCATCATAATTGGAATAAAAATAGCTCTATCACCCCCAGAAAATTCCCTCATGCTGCCCCTTTATGGTCAAGACTTTCCCAAATCTCTAAATTCTGTTAATCATTGATCTGTTCTCCATCCCTAGTTTAGCCTGGAAAGATGATAAAAACTGTCACTAAATGAAATATATTCTGTTGTTTTGTTTTGTTTTAAGAGTAAGGAATCTTGTTCTCTCCTTTCTCTTAGCATCCACTCTGTACATTTCCTTTGATTCACTTGGGGAATCAACCCTTTCCTATAGTAGATAAAAGTGATGGATCTGTCAGTTAAGGTCCCCAGCCTCTTTTGAGCAAGAAGAAGTCACATGATGCCACTCCAGCTTCTGAGATACAAAGACTGAAAGTGATTGGAGCAGACTGATCCTAAGGGTGGAGTGGGGCCAATGGCAAAAGGAACCTTATGTTTCTGTCCTTACCAAGACCTACTTACTCTTGTTTTTTATTCTGTTTAATGAACTACCCTCATGTCCTTGTGCACACGTGCACGTGCGTGCGCACACACACACACATCTTTTTTTTTTACTTATAGCACCTGTCAGATTCTGTTCAGAGCCAACAAACAACCTGCCAATTTCTCCTATCCTCCTTGAAATCTACTATATCTTATAATRTAATCTGCTTATTTCCTATACTATGTAGTATATTACAGAGTTATAATGCAGAGCCGAAGTCCAATATATTTAACCTAAATAACATGACTACACACAGAGACAAGTTTAAGGCTGACAACAGTCTTATATTCAGGGGTAAAAAGAGAAAGGAAAACTAGCATTAGATAATAATCAGAGGAAAGACATCTGAGATTTTTACTCCATAATCACAGCTAACACTACAGAGACTTGCTATGTACATTTTCCTCCCAATAACTCTGTGAGGCAGGAACTATGTATAAGCCCATGTTGGAGAGGAGGACGCTGGGGCTCAGAAAGGACACCAAGACTGCGACCTAATTATTGACAGGACCAATGCACAAATTTATAGTCCTCAGTGTTGGGATAACCACACTAAGTAAGCAATCTGACCGGGTGTTTAAGACTTCTAGGTAAATAGGTGACACTGACAAATAATAGGACCTTTTAAAAGGTAACAAATACACAGCTCATGTGCAAGGACTTTGGGAACAGAGTTCCAGCTACTGATCCAGTCCCACTCCTAACTCATGAGCTTGAGGCAAGCACTTTCCAAMTTTCTGGTTCTTTCTCTTGAAAATGAGGATTATAGTAACTATTCTTTCCTTTATTAGTTTGTGGKGTTTTGGAGACTATCCAATGATATAAATGGATGGTGAAATAACTACGCATTCGAAAATAGTATGTTAAGAAGCTAGTGGAATCTAAATCCATGAACTTTGTCAATTACATGTATCAAATTCATTCAAGGACTTTTTAGAAGACATTTAGAGACGGGAAACAGGGCAGCATTGTTTCTTCAGAATTCTTTTAGTAAATCTCTTATGTGTAAATCTCTTATGTGTAAATCTCTTATGTGTCTGTGTGTGTATGCATGCACACACACACACACACACACACACATATATATATATATAAATAGATATAATTTTTCCCCTAAAATCAGCTGATCCCGGAAAATCAATATGCCCATATAAGATCAACTCAAGCTGAGCACAGTGGTGCACACCTGTAATCCCAGCAGTTCAAGAGGCTAAGGCAGGAGGATCCCAAGTTCAAAGCCAGCCTCAGCAACTTAGTGAGACCCTGTCTCAAAATAAAAAATAAAAGGTGCGAGAGATGTGACTCAGTGACCAATTCAAGACAGAAACAAGAAGTCCATCAATAGTCTTGGTCAGCCACCAGTAGGTTACTAGACTGCAGAGGAAATACCTGGAGACCCAACCAGGAGCCCAAGTCACTATGCAGTAGGCTTAGAGAATTGCTCTAGGGTTTCCAGACTAACTCTGGACACTATGACTTCTTCTTTTTCTTTTCTTTCTTTCCTTCTTCTTCTTTTTTTTTTTTTTTTTGGTACTGAACATTGAACTCAGGGGCACTCAACCACTGAACCACATCCTCAGCCCTATTTTGTTTTTTACTTAGAGACAGGGTCTCACTGAGTTGCTTAGCACCTCACCATTGCTAAGGCTGGCTTTGAACTTGRGATCCTCCTGCCTCAGTCTCTTGAGCTGCTGAGATTACAGGCGTGTGCTACCATGCCTGGCCAACCTCTTTTAGTAGARATAAATGATAAAAAACCAAAATAGAATCTAGGACACTCATATTTAGCTAGATCCCAAAAGATACTAAAGTAGTGATCGATTAGATTCCTCAAATGTACTTCTTGCTTGTCTATGGTTCTGGAAGTTGCTAAACACCTATCAGGTATATATTTTGAAGGCAGTGATAAAATAGAGATTAGAAATGCTTAGTAACAACCAATTTTATCTATAGAAATATAAGTAGGGAATGATTTCATATCTGAGCAAGAATGCCAAGGTAACCATCACTCAGTGTTACACTGTGCATTCTGTATAAGTAACTCCACCTCTCAGCATTAAACTAAAAAGTATTACACAGGAAACCTATGATGTGATCAATTGATAGGAGCACAGCATTTTGTCTAACTTACCTGTCCCTGATTGCCTAGTARTGTGGACACTCACAATGTACTCACTAGTTCATGTGTCTTGTATTGCTTCCCTGGTTCTCTCTGCACTGGTATAAACCCTGCTCAGAGTTATAACAGACCCACTAGAGCCTGCAGAAGCAGCCAGTAAGTATGCTTCTAGATGTGTGTCCACTTTGTTTCATACTCTCTTACTAGCTTAACTTACTCTGGATCTCTGTCTGCAAAACAGAGATCTGAGAGTACATCCCTTGTAAGAATTTTTGGAGTGTTGAGTCAGATAATGTATATAAAACATGTAGCCTAGTGCCTGGCAAGAATTAAACATTCATAAAAGTTAGTTTTTGTCATTTTTTAAGCTGGAATCCCTGCTCACTTAGCTTCTATCACTAGAAATGTGTGGGAAATCTGTTTCTGGTTGAGTTAACRTTGTAGCCCCAAAGAGGCATGGGTCAGTGATTATGAGAGCAGCATCCATCTGCCAAGACAGAAATCCTCTTGCCAGATTATTCAAACCGTTTCCAAGTTTTCAAGTTGGTTAACTACAGGTCAGAGCTCACAGATTTGAATGTGAAAAGGTACCATCAGGCAATACACATGAGTGACATAGGCCAATTTTTCATAAGCTTAACATTCCAGAATATTCTTACATCTTGAAGAAATAATGCACTTTCATRACTCTATTTGAAAACAATACCTTTGTCATTTTCTCTTTTTAGATTTTTGATAAAGACATAAATGCAGATAAGAATTTCTCTACCGTAAGAAAATAACTGTGTGAACACAAAAAGGCCTCAGTATAGAGAATTAAGAGAATTAGAGCAATGGCTGCGTACTGGAGTTCTTGTGGCCATAGGGAAGGTCCAACAAGCATTATCAGTCTTCTGAAATTTCAAAAGAATTCAGAATCTGGAATTTTATTTGAATTCTCCTTCATCATTAAATGCTAACTTAATTTTTAAAACAATATATACACAAACAGAGGACTGAATTTGTCCTGAGGCTGCCAGTTTGTCACTTCCCAGCAAAACAGAAAGTCCACCCTGCTCACTTCTGGGATGATGACTGAGCCCTTTCAGCTTTTCCAAACACAGTGACCACAGAGAGTAGGCTACGCTCTCCTGGGGTGCTTCACTCTGGATGGCATCCCTAGAGCTCAGGCAGAATTTGTCACCAACACTTCTTGTGCCATTGGGGCCCAGTCCCAACACCAGTTGAACCAGCCTCACTGAGAAGTCACCTTCCAGAAATCCCAGGTTGGAGCAAACACTTCACAGATTCTAAGACAGTAGAGGCCACTAAGAGATGCCAAGCTCTTTGGATAATGGCTTAGCAGAGAAGAAACTTCAGCCTTGTCCGTGGCACTGAGGGTCAGTGCTTGGGTGAAGGAAACCACTGAAGGTACTGAACTGGGTCCCACCATTCCCTTGAGATTTTATCCCACCTTCCATTTAGTTCTCTAACATAAACCAACATTCATATTTTTTGCAGAACCCTTTCCTATAGACAATTTAAGAAAACCTATACCCAGGGGGTTTGTGAAATAGAAGAGATGGTTTTCCTTAATCACTTTTCCATAGACAGATGGCAAAGCTGTTTAAAACTCTTCCAGCTATATTTTTTTCTAGTGATCCCATGAAAACTACCACCACCACTACCAGCACCACATCAATTATGGCCAACATCTCCCCAGCACTTACTCTCCTCTATTCTGAATGTTACACTTTGCATCATCCTATTTAATCCTTCCAACAACTGGATGAAGTGGGTGGTATTATTTTCTTTTTGAGATGAGGAAAGAGTTATAAGAGGCTAATTAAAGAAGTGGCCCAGGTCACCCGGCTAGTAAGTGGTAAAATTTGGTCTCCTTGCAGGTACTTGGACAAGAGTTCACAGGACCTTAACAATTTGACTACCTTCCTCTCTGACTTGGTGTAAATTCTCTACCAGTCATCCTGGAAAAGTGAATGGGGGCTGAACGAGGATTTGGAACTAGGAGATTTATTTGAACTTGGAGGAGCTGGGACTTTACCAACTTAATCTCCCCAGCCTTCCCCCACCACACCCGGCCCCAAAGAGTTTTAAAATCTTTCCCCTTGACTGGGAATCAAAGACGCTGAAGGTAAAGAAGGACCCTAGGGAGCAACAAGTCCAATCATTCCGTTTACTTTGGAAGGCTCTTTTTACATTGAGCTCAGGAGAATAAATCCCAAGGTTTTATAGTCATGACGACACTTTTCCCTCAAGGGAAAGGTGACAGACAGGTGATGAGACAAGGAAAGATTCCGATGTGATGGTGACCATTCATCCCCAAGAAAATTCCTCCAGGAGCCTGAAAAGTCCCCCACCTTCCCCTTTACCTCGTAGGTGCTGGTAATCCCCAGTTTGTAGAACACAGGCAGGAAGACCTCTGCGCTGAGGACCACCACAAAGAAATAGGTGATGGCGAAGATGCTGTACATGATCCCAAAACGGTAGATCTCGGCGGGGGTGCCCAGGACCGTGACAGCGGACATGAAACTGGCGGAGAGGGACAGCGCCACGGGCACGGCGGTCATTCTGCGGCCGCCCATCAGAAAGTCCTTGGAGGTCTGCTGGCCGCCCCCCGCGAAGGCGTAGTAGATGCCGATGGCGGCAGAGATGAGCAGCATGCCSGCGAAGACCACGTAGTCCCACACCACGAAGGTGCCAATGTCCCGCTGCGCGCCCATGGCTTGGCGRTGGCCAGGGCTCTGCGCGGAAACTGGTGGCCCCGCGACGCGCAGCCCGAGCCCAGCGTTTTAGCTCAGCTGCCGGCGCTCGCTTCTATTTCCTGGGCGCCGCAGGCGTGGTGCCCTAGGGCGGTTAGAGGCGTCCTCCAGGTGTCTCCCGCAGTCCGGAGCCTTGGCGCAGATGAGAAGGTAAGCGGAGGTACCAGCTGGTAATGGTCCCAGCACTCTCCACTGCGAGCTGCGCCCCGAAGTCTGGGACTTGGGGAATCTGCCCACAGCGCTGAGCGCTCACCAGGTGCGCGACCGACCAGGTGGCCAGGACAGCCGACGCACCAGGGAACTCGGGCAGGTGAGAACTGAAGAACTGGAGCCTCCTGCCCTGCCGCCGTGTCCAGCGAATCCACAAGGAGCGCTCAGCACAAATTTTATCAAGTGACACCTGAAGGGACGCACCATTTAAATAAGCAGGGGACGGGTCGAAGGGCAATTGTCACGCCTTTAGATTTAGTTCAACAGTCCAGATCCTTACTGGAAAGTCTGCCTGGAGTTTTTAGATTGTCTTACTTGACAGGTTAATGGGTGATGCGGTTGACAACTGCAGTGCGTGAGYTGAGATCATAGTCCTTGGACAGGTAAGCAATTATAAAGGAGAGGAGGAAGTCTGTGAGATGGGTCACTTGCGTTTKTATTCAACAAACACTTCCCATCTCCGTGCAGCCTGTAATGGAAATGGTAATTTCTGCAACATTAATAATAACAGCTGTTTAATGAGACTTAGGATATGACACATGCACGCCTGAAACCTTTTCCATTAACAAGTGTAATTTTTACTATTACCCTTGAGATAGGGATTATCTCCACTTTTCAAAGGAGGAAAACTGCTTTAGAAAGGTGAAGTCACTTGCCCAARGAAATGGTGGAGATAAAGATTCTTAATGCAGGTTGGATTTCAAAGCTTGTTCTCTTAATCACAATGCTATACTTTGTACAAAGTCCACATGTAAATATGAGTTAAAGGTAGGMACAAATGTGCACATTAAATGAAGACACCTGAAAGCATATGGAAGAAAATATTTGTTTGGGTACCAACACTTGGAACATATTTTAAGTACCTTGCCTTGAAAAATTGTTAGCATCACATGTGTTAGATCATAAAGTAATATGACTTGGATTTTCCTCCTATAACAGGCCCTCCAGCCAAATGTGCCCAGTCATTGATCTATTTAAAACAGTCCTTGTCCATTTTCATACATCTTTATAATTTAACATTGCAAATCAAAACTACTCTAAGATTTCATTTCACTCCAGTCAGAATGGCTGGATTGATCAACAATCACAGAATGCATTTAGCCTAAYGTAGTGTGTAAAGAAATCTGTATCAAATTCTAGTTTTTAATAAACTGGCATTTTTTTCTATATAATTTTCAGAAGGAAATAAAGAGGGAAATAGAAACTAAATCCAAGTAATCCAATCATTTAAACAAATATGTGGCTTGGAATTATGTCCCACCTGTGTGAAATTTACATACCTTTAAATATTTACTCTGTGTGTGGGTAAGAACCTGTAAGAGTAATACACAGAGAAGTCCAGCTCAACCCTTATAGAAACTGAATCTGCTTCTGAAAAATTCTTTAAAGCCAATAGTCTTAAGTTGGAGCAAATATTTTATATACTGTTGGACACCAAGCTCTCTGGATAATGGCCTAGTGGAGAAGAAACTCCATAACACTGAGGGTCAGTGTTTGGATAAAGGAGAACTGGGCCCACCATTCCCTTGAGCTTTTGTCCCAATTTCCCATTTAGCTCTCTAACATAAACCAACATTCACCATCTTTGCAAAACCCTTTTCTTCAGGCAACCTATATCCAGGAGATCTGTGAAATAGAAGAAACAAAAATTATCTTCTTTTGGACACTAGTACTAAGGKCAGAGTCTCACACAGCTAATGACCAATACACTCTCTGATCATTAGAGGCCAACTAGCTTAAGGTTAAACCTGACACCCTGGTTTTGCTACCTATTAGCCATATTTTGAGCAAATGCTTACCTCTATTTCTTGGTTTCTCTTATCTAAAATGGGGGTACTGATTCTCATCTCACAGAGCCATAGAAGGTTAAATAAGATGATACATGTGTAGTCCCTGACAATGTTGAGTGCTGGCATTACATATTTAGCTGCTTTTCCAATTTGTTGAGAATAGGGTTGGTATAACTTATAGCTTGGAAGTACTAAGGTTAAACACAGCCTGTGATTTCCCTAATTATTTTCCCTTTGATTCAAACTAAAAAGCTGCTTCTCAGCAAAAGAAACAATCAGTGAGGTAAATGGAAAACCTACAATTTGGGTGCAAATTTTTACCATACACACATCAGATAGAACACTAATCTCTAGGATATATAAAGAATTCAAAAATTTTAACACCAAAAAAAAAACAAATAACCCAATTAATAAATGGGCCAGATGCTTCTCAGAAGATGACATACAATCAATCAACAAATATAATAAAAAAATGTTCAACATCTCTAGCAATTAGAAAAGTGCAAATCAAAACTACTCTAAGATTTCATTTCACTCCAGTCAGAATGGCAGCTATTAAGAATACAAACAATACAAACTTATTAAAGTGTTGGCGAGGATGTGGGGGGAAAGGCACACTCATCCTTTGTGGGTGGGACTGCAAGTTGATTCAGCCAATATAGAAAGCAATATAGAGAATTCTTGAAAAACTGGGAATGGAACCACCATTTGACCCAGCTATCCCATTCCCCAGTCTATACCCAAAGRACTTAAAAACAGCCTACTTCAGGGACACAGCTACATCAATGTTTATAGCAGCACAATTCACAATAGCTGAACTGTGGAATCAACCTAGATGCCCTTCAGTAGATGAATGGATAAAGAAAATGTGGTATATATACACAGTGGAATATTACTCAGCATTTTGAATATGGCACTTACAGGTAAATGGATGGAGTTGGAGAATAAAATGCTAAGCGAAGTTAGCCAATACCCCCCCCCCCAAAAAAAACCAATGCTGAGTGTTTTCTCTGATATAAAAGGATTTGATWCATGATGGCGTTGGAGGGGGAGCATTGGAGGATTAGACAAGCACTATATAGGGCAAAGGCACTAGAGGGGAAATGTGGGTAGGAAAGATAGTGGAATGAGATGGACATCATTACCCTAAGTACATGTATGAAGACACGAATGGTGTGACTCTACTTGGTGCACAACCAGAGATGTGAAAAATTGTGCTCTATATGTGTAATAAGAATTATAATGCATTCTGCTTTCCTATATAACAAATTAGAATAAAAAATTCAAAAAGTAAAAAAGAAAAGAAACATGGCTAGTATCGCTTCATGACACAGAAAATGTTACAATTATACCTATTATAAAGGGATTATAAGCAAGTTGAAAAGTGAAAGAAGGACAAGATTTTGAGATTATAGAAGTTCTAAATGCCAGGATATAATAAAAATTGGTTTGGGAGTAATTAGTGTTTCAAAATGTTAATAAATCAACAGCTAAATGAGTAACATGAGCTGCCTTCAAATGTAAAATTTCATTGACTTGCTATCTAAATTTATTATACTATAAAAAACTACATCTTCCCTCAATAAGGTAGATTATATTAGCTATAAGGTATAAATGCTCACTTTTTTGTTTCTTTCCAGAACTTTTCCACTAAGTTTAGCTTTATTTCTCTTACTAATCAATGTACTTATAAACATATATAACAACATCATATGCCTATTTATGTAGTACCTTCTAAATGCATAATTCTAAGTTTCAGATATATTCACATTTAATATTATATGAAAACTGTCAAATAAAASCAAATTTTTTTTCAAGTATCATGTTTTGGTATGTTTTTAAAGTTTGTCAAAACATCTTTYCTCCCAGAAAAAAAAGTAATCTGGGGCCTTTAGCTACATCTGAAAGTCAAGATACAGACATTGAGAAGGCCAACAGAACCAAACAAGTTTCCCTGGAGTGAAATTAGGTTTGCATTTCCTCTTAATCAAGTCTCATTAGTTGGAAATGTTTATTTACCACTTTTCCCATAATAAGAAAACAGGGATGAAGTTTACATAGAAAATTACAGCATTGTAATTTTATATTATTATTATTTTATGTTTTATATATTATGATTACTATAAATTATTTCATGTTATTTTGGAAGAGATTTTATTTGTAGAAATACAGGACTTTTTATGGATGTCCTCTTTAATTATTTTTAAAACAAAGGAGTTAGAAGGAGAACAATGGAAATGGACTGGTAGTTGGTCATAACTATTTCCAAGTGGAAAATGGACTAGGTTGTGTTGATTTGTGCCATAGCTCATGCAAGAATAGGATCTGTCTTAAGAGCTCTTACTTTTTTAGAAAACAGCCATCTCCACTAATTTTATTATTCTCCCCAATATTATTTTTAAATTAATGTTCTCAACCTTTCATGTAAGATAGATTCAATTGTTAAAATTTTTCACAAATACTTTACTATCCCTAATCCCACCTGCTGCACAACCAGATGTACTCTCTCCCCCTCTTTGAGTCCCCTTAGCATGTTTATAGTCATTTATTGGCCTTGATAGTGAGATAGTATTACATTTGTTTTAGGGCTGAGAATGTAGCTCAGTGGTAGAGTGCTTGCCTAGAGTACCCTAGACCTTGGGCTAGATCCCCAACACTGGGGGGGAAAAATATCCTTTAAAAGTACTTGTTGGTCATCATTATACAAAGTACATGTATGAATATTTGAATTGGATGTCAACATATTTTATATACAAACAGAAATACAAAAAGCATGATATKTATGTGTATTAAGAATTATAATGCAAAAATAAATAAATAAATAACATTACCTTAGATTAGATTAGTAGAGGGAAGTGAAAGGAGGGGAAGGCAGGGGATGTGAAGATAAGAAAAATACATTATTACTGTATGTATGTATGTGACTGTAGGACCAATGTGATTCTACAATATGTACACTCAGAAAAATGAGAAATTATATCCCATCTATGTATGAYACATCAAAG